CCCTTGTTGAAAAAAGCAGAAACATCGAATCAGAGAACACTAAAAGAGAAAGGTTCATCAGAGCTCAGTTAGCATAAGCTCCTGACTTTGCAAGTACAACCAGGAGAAGCTCCCTTACACTCCTTCAGTTCAGCAATTCCTCAGTCCTTGTTGTCTTAGTTACCTGAACTGCATGGGTCTTTCATATTTCAGGGTTCTTAACACATATCAGTTTTTACAGTTTAATCCATAAGGACCTTTCACCCTTTCATTAGTTTCCCTCAGTATGGATGAACAGACAACTCTAGAGGAGGAGTCGGATATTTTAAATACCATCAGCCTCAAGCCTGTCAGATCTCAGCCATCTTTTAATTAGAAAGAAAGGGTTTTCTGCTTTGCCTTCCAAGTTTCTGGAACCCATTTCTATGTCATTCCTTCCTATTAAATAACTATCTACTGGGAAATATTTGGTGCAGAAGAGCTAGAAATAGTGCTGCTTATATGTACAGATTATAAGTTAAGAATTATCTATTATTAGCTAAATACAATGAAACATTTGCAATCCAAAGAATTCTTATTTTATTTTTTTTTGGTTTTCTTTCCTAAAGTGTGGCATAAGAGCTTTTAACTGGAAATTTGGGGACCTGGTTAGGAGTTTTCCTAGTTATGTTACTTAGTCTCTGTGAGAAAATCTTGAAACTCTGGGCCTCAACTTTTTTCTCTATAAAATGAGAGTAGGTGAAATCTTTAATTTGTTCCTATGAAAATACTAAATTTGTGGAAACTTTCTGGCAACTACCCTGCTTCAACACTATCTTAGATTCTTGTCATACTCTTACTATTTTCTTATTGTTGATTTCTGGAGTCTTATAGAATACTTACAACAGCGTTTAATTTCTTAAATTACCTTATTTCTCTGGTTTGTCCTCTACTTTTTTCCATATGATTCAACAAACATTTATTTACTTACTGCCTTCTATGTGCTTGACACTGTGTACGGAAATGCAGAGAGGAAAGCTGTTTATATTTCTTGACTTCAAGAATTTATCATTTAATTGGAAAGATTACTAGCTGGGATATAATAGACACTTTGTATTGTTACTCATCTTGTTTCTTTTTCTTGTTACTTTTTTCTTAACTTCTTTGCTGACCCTTCAGATGATTATCAGTAATTTGCTTTTATTTACATTAACCCTTTTCTTCTTTTACCCTGTGGAAACTTCATTCGTTTTGAGCATCAGTTATGTGCAGAACACTATTCTAGATTCTATAGAAGACAAAGATGTGTTAGATATAAAAACTGCAGAAAAGTTTATAATCCAGCATGGCAGGTAGAAGAGGTTTCAAAGAAGCAGCATTCAAATCATAAAAAAGGAGGAAGAGGCAGTGGTGATTTCTAGTCGTAGGGATCAAGGAGTCCTTAATGAGAAGCTGAATTTCAGCTGAATCTTGCAGGATGTGTAGAATTTTGATTGGCAGGAATTGGGATGGGCAAAGGCATTCTAACTAAAGGGAGTACAACAAGTAGTAATGAATCAAATAATCCAGAATCTTGTGTACATATACATGTGGTTGAGTAGTAGAAGAAATTATTAAAGTTTGTCTTGACTCTACAGATTTTTGAATGGCATACTGCGAGGATTTTCCTTTTTGACATAGGGTGGGTTTGTTCATTTGATTAAAGTAGAAGAGAGTGACATGATGAGATGTATTTTCAAGGAGTATTTTTTGGTCACTCTACTGAATGGATTGGTGGAGAGGAGAGAAACTAAGTATGAAGATCACTTCTTTCAGAAGATAAATTTTTTTTAAGATTTATTTATTTATTTATTCATGATAGAGAAAGAGGGGGGGGGCAGAGACACAGGAGGAGGGAGAAGCAGGCTCCATCCCAGGAACCCGATGTGGGACTCGATCCCAGATCGCGCCCTGGGCCAAAGGCAGGCGCTAAGCCGCTGAGCCAGCCAGGGATCCCCCTCTTTCAGAAGATAATCAGTTATGGTGATGGCTGTGGAAAGGGAAAGGAAGATGGACATATTTCAATGGAAGAATAGGCTGAACTGACCAACTGATTGAATGTTAGGAAAAATCTGAAGTGGGAAGTATAAAGGTTTCTGAGAATTTTGAATTTAGATGTTGGGGGTTGTGCCATTAACATAAACAGGGAATGAAAAGGAGAGCTTGGGCCTTTATATGAGAAAGATGATGATTTTGGTGTTAAATGTTTCTTTTCTTTTTCATATTTTTTTAATTTTTATTTTTTTTTAAATTTTTTTAAGATTTTGTTTGTGTATTCATGAGAGACACATAGAGGCAGAGACATAGGCAGAGAGAGAAAAGCAGGCTCCCTGTGGGCAGCCCAATGTAGGGCTTGATCCCATGATGCTGGGATCACAACTTGAGCCGAAGACTGACTGAGCCACCCAGGCATCCCTTTAATTTTTATTTTTAAGGTAATCTCTATGTCCAATGTGGAGCTTGAACTCACAACCCCAAGATCAAAAGTTGCAGGCTCTGCTGACTGACTGCACCAGCCAGGTGCCCCAGGGTTTTAAATATTTCTTGTGGAGACGAAGTGGTGAAGTTTCGCCAAGAGGTTGGGTGGAGGGGCACATGGGTGGCTCAGTCAGACATCTGGCCTTCCGCTCGAGTCATGATCCTGGGGTCATTGAATCGAGCCCCATGTTTGGCTCCCTGCTCGGTGAGAAGCCTGCTTCTCCCTCTCCCACTCCCCCCCGACTTGTGCTTGTTCTGTCAAATCTCCCTCTCCCACTCCCCCCCGACTTGTGCTTGTTCTGTCAAATAAATAAATAAATAAATAAATAAATAAATAAATAAATAAATAAATAAATTAAATATCTTTTTTAAAAGGTTGGGTTGAGATATTAGTTTGGGGATTCATTTGCCTAACAGTTATAGTTTAAATCCTAGGAGCGCATTCTTAGACAAGTATAGAGTAAGAAGAAAGAAGTGTGCCTAAGATAAGATGCTAAGGAGATTGTACAGGTTTTGATGATAGATAGGATCATGAATTATGGAGTAGTCAGGATGTGCAATTCCACTGAGATGTAGGAAGAAGTTTTGAGGAAGAGGCTATTTAATGTCTTTTGCAGTGAGAACCAATTAAAAAAAGGGTAAGCTGAGAAGGCATCACTCCTCTTTTTACTGTATCTTTTTTCTTTCCATTTTTATAATGTTACTTTCCCTCTACCTCCCCCTTCAATTCTGTATTATTTCTCATTTTCTCCTGTGTCCTGCTTGTTTTCAGATCTATTTATAGGTATACTTACTTCTATCTGGAGAGGGTGATCAGGAATATCAGTGTTGTTGTTCAGACTGATTTCATAGACTGCATTATTACGTGTGAATCCTGCTGCATACCCACAGCAGGCAAAACTGTGATAGCAGGAAGCCCATTTGAGGATTGTGCCACAAGAATGTATTGTGGCAAGATGCTTGGGTGGCTCAGTAGGTTAAGTGTCTGCTTTTGGCTCAGGTCCTGATCCCAGAACCAAGCCCACATCAGGCTCCCTGCTCCCTCTGCCCCTCTCCCTGTTCCTGCTCTATCTCAAATAAATAGATCTTTAGAAGAGAAAAAAATGTATTGTGGCTGAAAGCTTTAGTAGGAAATTCTACCAATACTTATTAAGAATAGGTAGTGTGGATTTTTATGACACTTCTTCATTTTTTTACTTTTTACTTTTTAATTTTTTTTAGTGTAAACTCTATGCCCAGCGTGAGGCTTGAACTCATGACCCTGAGATCTAGAGTTGCTCTACTGACTGAGGCAGCCAGGCCCCCCGTGACACTAAAAACAACAACAACAAAAATCTAATGAACCTATATGAAGATCCTTCTTTTTACAAATATATTTCATTTAATGAGTCATGGTATATATAGTATGGGATTTCTGTCTTTTCCTTAAAATCTATTATGTTGAATAAGTAGTGCATGTATATATATACATATTCAGAATACACATATAATTGTATCATATTTTCTCCTTTTGTTCTTTTTGTTAACTATAGCATGACGTTGAGCTACTGTTTATATATAAAGTGAAGTAGAAGTGCACTTAACAATTGTAATGAAGGGAAGACTTTTTTAAAAAGGAAGATTATTTTCTCCTTTTTTAAAAATATTATTTATTCATGAGAGACACACAGAGAGAGAGGCAGAGACACAGGCAGACGGAGAAGCAGGCTCCATGCAGGGAGCCTGACACAGGACTCTATCTCAGGACTCCAGGACCATGCCCTGGGCCAAAGGCAGGGGCTAAACTGCTGAGCCACCCTGGAATCCCCAGGAGTATTATTTTCATTATGTGTGTGTATTAGGTTATATATTTATTCACGGTTTTATTTTGAAGTGTTTTTTTCTTATCTCTTCTGATAAATCTTAAGTGACTCTAAATCTTTTAAGAAAAACAAAAACCTGAATATAATTATCAGTTCTAATTGCAGGAAAGAGATATAGTCTAACAACTTAATTACATAAGTAATATGAATCACTTTATGTTGTAGAAATTATAATTAATAATATAAATAATTTAGAAGTACATGAAATAAAAACCAACAGTTCCTCTTATTCCTTCTACAGAAGTAAACCCTGTTAGGTGTTTTGTGTTCTTCTTTCCAGACTTTTTCCTATGCATTTACATATATACATAAGTACATGTACACACAGAAAAGAATACATAGCCTATTTTTAAAAACCTAAATATATGCGTTTTTCTATAACTTGCTCATTTTACTTAAGAGTGTGTTTTGGAAGTCTGTCCATTACATTGAGTGAATGTATACACACTTGCACACAAACTATGTGTGTCTGTGTCATGTATATATGTATAGTTGACACAATGCTATATTAGTCTCATGCACACAAACTCTTCGGGTATTTCTTATTTATTTATTTGACTATGGTTGACACACAGTGGCACATTGGCCTCAAGTGTACCAAATAGTGATTTGACAGTTTATACATACGCCATGCTCACCACAAGTGCAGCCACCATCTGTCCCAAAAATATGAAAGGGCTTCATGAATTTGCATGTCTTCCTTGCTCAGGGGCCATACTAATCTTTTCTGTGTGGTTCCAGTTTTAGTATATGTGCTGCTGAAGTAAGCACTGTATTTCTTTCTTTTAATTAACTCAGTTTTACCTTTATAAATTTTTATAAATATAAATTTTGGTAAGCTCTTAATTTTAGAATAGTTTTAGATTTAAGAAAAGTTACAGAGTGCCCATGTATTCTGTCCTCACTTTCTCTTATTGAAATTTTACATTTGTATGGTATGTTTGTCACAATTAATGAATCAATATTGATACATTATCATTCACTGAAGTCCATACTTTATTCAGATTCCCTTAGTTTTTACCCAGTGTCATTTTTCTGTTCAAGGATCCCACCCAAGATACTGTAGTATCTTTATATTTAGTCATTGTGTAGGCTCTTCTTGGCTATGCCAGTTTCACAGACTTCTTGCTTTTGATTACCTTGATGGTTTGAGGAGTAATGATCAGGCATTTTGTAAGATGTCCTTCAATTGGGGTTTGTCTGATTTTTTTCATAATTAGAATGGGGCTATTGGTTTTTGAGAGGAAGGCCATGATTTTGTTAATTTTAAAAATAAAATTTAATTTAAAAAATTTAATTTAAATTTTTTAATTTAAAAAAATCAAGGGGCACCTGGGTGGCTCTGATAGTTTTAAATGTCCAGCTCTTGGTTTCAGTTCAAGTCATTGATCTCATGGGTCCTGGGATCAAGACCCCCTGGGGCTCCATGCTCTGCAAGGGGTGTGCTTGAATATTCTCTTCCTCTGCCCTTCCCCCCACTTGTGTGTGTGCATGTGTGTGTGTGTGTGTGTGTATGTATGTTGTGTTTGCACGTGCTCTCCCTCTCTCAAATAAATAAATCTTTTTTTTAAAAAATGAAGTAGTACTGAAAGGTTTTTAATGAGATTATGTCCCTAACTGTCTGCATTCCCTGCCCTGGCCCCAGCTATTATCTCCTTTAGTTTCATCTTTTAATTCCAAATTTCTGAATAAAGTGCTCATACTGCCTTTTAGTTTCTGATTGGTCAGTTGTAGACATATATTGCATTCTTGTTGAGAGTAATAGGATTTAGCACTTTTTATAACCTAGCTTTTTTTCTATCCAGTAATATAATAAAACTTAAAGTGTAATAATCAGTGCTAATTATGACTTTGCAAATACTGTTCGGTACAGTCAGAGATCCTTTTCTGTACAGCATTCTGGATTTTCTTTTCATTTTAATTTATTTATTTATGAGCGACATAGAGGCAGAGACACAGGCAGAGGGAGAGGCAGGCTCCACGCAGGGAGCCCGATGTGGGACTAGATCCTGGGTCTCCAGGATCACACCCTGGGCCAAAGGCGGTGCTAAACCGCTGAGCCACTGGGGCTGCCCTGGATTTTCATAATAGTTAAAAATTGCCTCTCTACACACAGATCGTCCCTGCCTTGCAATGACTTAAAATTTTTTGACTTGATGATAGTGTGAAAGCAGTGCAATTCAGGAGAAATCGTACTTTTGAATTGTGAACTGTACTTTTTGAATTAGCAACATGTGGTAGCATATTGGTATCACATATCTGGTGATGCTGTGTGGAGCATCGAGCCATAATCTCAGTCAATCATGGGATCACAGGATCAACAACCTATACACTTAAAAACCATTCTGTCCTTGTACAGCCATTCTGTTTTTCACTTTTAGTACAATATTCGATAAATTACTTGAGGTGCTCAACACTTCTTTATTATAAGGTAGGCTTTGTGTTGGATGATTTTGTCCAACTGCAGGCAAATTTAAGTGTTCTGAGCACATTTGTAAGTTAGGTGTATTAAGTGCATTTTTGACTTAATGATAGTTTTCAATTTACAATGAATGGGTTTATTGAGACAAAATCCCCTTGTAAGTCAAGAAAGATCTGTTTATGTCTATTGCGTCTTCGTTTTCTGTCCTATTCTCTGTGTTTTGTGATAAGAGATAATCTGGCAATTCCTTTTTATTCCTGGAGGTAGTTTCTGCAGTGGTTTGTTTACTCCTTAATTTACTTGAGCATATCATAACAGGGGATGTGTGTGTAGTAAAAATTTTTGAATTTTTGCTTGTCTGATCATGTCTTCCCTCATACTTGATTGATAGTTTGGCAGATTAAAGAATTCCAAATTAAAAATTATTTTCATTCAGCATTCTGAAGGCATTTATATTGTTTTCCAGCATCTGCTGTCATGTTGAAGAATTCCATGTTATGACCTGATCTTTTATATCTGATCTGATTTTGTTTTGTTTCGTTTTAATTCCTTAGGAGCTTTTAGGATCTTTTCTTTATCTCCAGTGTACTGAAATTTCATGATAGTGTGCCTGGTGTGTGTGTGGTAAGGGGGGGCTACCACTGTGAATTCCATTCTTTGTGCTCATCCCTTGAGGGAATCTTAATTTTGGTGACTTCTCTTTTCTGAAAAAAATTCTTATACTTATTTATTTTGGCATTTTTCTGTCCTATAAAATTCTGTTTTCTTTTTCTGAAAGTTTAATTAATTTGATATTGAATCTCTGAATCCCTTAGGAATCTGATCCTTTAGGTCATTATATTTTCTGCTGTTTTCCACTTTTTTGTCTTGTTACTCTCTTTTTTGGAAGATTATCTCAACTTTATCTTCCAACTTTTTGAGCTTTTCAGTATTGCTATTGTATTTTTAAATTCTGAAAGGTTTTTTTTTTTTTAATTTCCTGATTCAATTTATTTTAAGCATTTTAGGGAAGGACAGTTAGCTTGTTTTTAGCTCCACTCTTTGCCTTGCCTGGAGTACCTGAGTTTCAAGCCTGTTCATTTTCTCCTGACAACGAAAACTGGATGTTTGCCTAAAGGACTGAGATTGAATGATTACTTGACTGTTTGGGACAAGGGTGGGAAGACTGGGAAGTCCAGTTATTTTTTATATTATATTTATTTTTATTGTGTCATGTTTATTTTTATGTAATTTTTAAATATATTTATGTCTATTAGTTTTTATATAAAGTCCAACTATTTTTTAAATGATTTCCTTTAAGAATCCTGTGTGGGTGTATATGCAGATGTATATACCTAAATATGTATGTATATGTTTGCATATATTTACAGGTGTACATATGTATATGACAGATGTGGTAACATTTTATAAATTTACATTTATATATGGTAACTTGCCATTTTCCTCTAATATTTCATGATAATTATCCCTGCCTCATGATATTAACTGTTATTCAAACATGATTTTTAATATCTTCATATTTTCCCATTAATGAATATACCCAAATTTAATCACTTCCCAATTATTAAACATTTAAGTTATTTACAGTTTTTCATAATTCTAAATAATATAAGATGAGGACTCCTGTATATGTATATTTGTGCTGGCTTGTTCTTTCCTTTTTATTAAATCCTAGCAGTGGGATTGTGAGATCAAAGGAACGGTCAGGTTTTGTTTTTTTTTTTAAGGGGGCAGGGACAGAGAGAAAAGGAGAGAAGGAATCTCATTGCTGGATATGGAGCCTGAGGCAGGGCTTGATCTCAAGACCCTGAGACCATGACCTGAGCCGAAACCAAGAGTCTGATGCTCACCCATTTGAGCCACCCAGCCACCCCTGGACTATTATTTTCTTCTTGTTTTTCCTTTTCCTTTTATTTTCTTTTCTTCTTTTTTTTTAGATATATGTTGTAAGAATTCTTCCTATTAAAAGAGACCTACATAAAAAAGAAATTACTCCATGGCTTTTTAAGGAAAATTGTTTTTATTGAGAGTTACACAGAAAAATTGTGGATCCCTAATATTTTTGAAGGAGTAGCTTCATTAAATCTTAGGATTTTTTTGTCAAAAACAACCAGGCCGATTAGAAAAGGGAAATAAATTTGAGGAACTACTCTTGGAAGGCTGTAGGAACTAAGAATTTCCTTCCTTGCTGTGGTATGACTAGGAAAAGAAGGAAGAATGAATACAGACCAACATAGAGCACCTAAAAAGAAAGTCACGATGTACTGTAAAAAATAACACAATAATTTCTTACTGTATCATAGGACCTGTTTCATGAATCAGACATTTATTGAAGAACTAGATCCTTCTCTACCCTTAAGGAACATAGGCTATACACTGGTGGTAGCAGGGATCATTATAAGAAGAAAGATAAGTTTATAACAGAAAAAATACAGTGTGAAATTTGCTCTAACAAAGCTAGAGAACCTGCTTATTATATTATACAGTAGGGTATTAATGGACCTGGTCTGATTTCTTAGCACAGAACAGATGAGAATGAGCCTGTTGGTGACCACCAGAAGTTAGAGTTGTCACCTCTCATACTTGGAATGATAAATGATAGTTGAGACAATAAAAATTAAATGATACTGAAATACTGTTTTTTAGTTTTGAACAGGTACATTTTTTTTTTGCTTTTGAGTTCATCAATATGAGTATAATAATGAGTTTAAATTTTTGTCATGAAAAGACCATCCTATTTCTTAGATTTTTGCAAGCAAGGAAATACGTAATATACTTTTGAAATTTTTTAGAATGATTAAAAAAGTGGCAATTTTCTGTTACTTAAAACTACAAATTAATTCTTAAGATTCCAGATAAATGGATTGTTGTATTATAAATCTCTTAAAGGGGTGCCTGGGTGGCCTAATCCATTAAGTGTCTGTCTCTTGATTTCTGCTCAGGTCATGAGATCTAGCCCCATGTCAGGCTCCGCACTGGATGTGGAGCCTGCTTAAGATTTTCCCTCTTCTCTCTCTCTCTCTCTCTCTCTCTCTCTCTCTCTTTCTTTTTCTCTAAAAAATTTTTAAAAATTTCTTGAAAAGATTCTCTAAGAATGCTTTTTATGACTTTCTCCTTACTGAAGTGACTCATCTAATATTTGTGTGTGTGTGTTTTTTTCTCTGTATTATTATAATGACTAATACAGTTAGAGACTAGTAAATTTTATTACAACAAAATGAAAACAATAATTTTGTTATTTAAGAACTGGTTTTCCATAGTGGACCAACAGTAAGAATCAAATGATATTGTTGATTTTAAGACTTAGTGTACAGCACTATTAGTCATTTTTTGCTCTTGCACATAAGTACTTAATAGAAATATATTGGGTGCATGAAATCTGAAAGGTACTGCTAAGTTAGTAAATTGAGTATATGTTTGAAAATCCCATTTCTATTTTATTTGAAATTATTTTAATCAATTTTTTTTTCTTTTACATATAGTAATTATCTTTAGCACATGTGTATTTTTCCATATGTGTAATTTATAGTTTATTTTAGTTTTATAATGACTTAGTCATTTATTCCTTCTCCTTTCCTTCATTCTTTTTTTTTTTTTTTTTTTAAGATTTTATTTATTAGAGAGCACACACAAGCAGAGAGAGGGGCCGAGGAAGGAGCAACGGGAGTCTCAGATTAGACCATGAAAGATAAAACCATACAAATTCTTGGTCATGAAGAGAAATGAATAAAAATTAAAAAGGACAATTTTTTTTTTTAGAATGACAGCTTTTTTATTTTTATCTATCTATCTATCTATCTATCTATCTATCTATCTATCTATTTATTTATTTATTTATTTATGATAGTCACACAGAGAGAGAGAGAGAGGCAGAGACACAGGCAGAGGGAGAAGCAGGCTCCATGCACCGGGAGCCCGACGTGGGACTCAATCCCCGGTCTCCAGGATCGTGCCCTGGGCCAAAGGCAGGCGCCAAACCGCTGAGCCACCCAGGGATCCCATGACAGCTTTTTTAAATAACAGTGTATATTATAGGAAACATGATGCCAGGGAGCCGTTTTCCTTCTGAAAAGATATAGAAGTGGCTTTTATGAGTGTGAATACACTATAATGTAACAGCAGACTTGAGATTCTATAGACAGTGGTATTCTATATTGTTATAGCCAAAAAATGCTTATTATGGCTCAATATAATGGATAGATAGACATAGATAATATTCTGCATTCATAGGCTTATATCTTTACAGTATGCTTTTGTCTATTTCCTATTTAATCTTTATGTAAGCTCCATTTATAGCTGAAATGGGATATCTGAGAGTTTGTTATCAAAGTTGCAGAACTTGCACCTAGGTCTTCTCAACTTTTAGGCTTTCCACTTTAATGTTTACCTATAACGTGTAAACATGTGTTACAACATCTTCATATTATCTGTAATCTGATTATGAAACATTTGTTTATTTACTTTTTAAAAGATTTTATTTGTTTACTCATGAGAGACACAGAGAGGGAGAGTGAGGCAGAGACCCAGGCAGAGGGAGAAGCAGGCTCCCATGCAGAGACCCCAATGTGGGACTTGATCCCAGGTCCCCAGGATCATGCCCTGGGCCAAAGGCAGGCGCTAAACCGCTGAACCACAGGGATCCCAATTATGAAACATTTAATGGAGACATTTAAAGTTAGATTTTGAAAAAGGATATGCCCTGATAAGAAAAAATTCTAGGAAGGGCGAAAGGTTGAAAGATTGAGATGTGTGTAGGTCGGGACAGCAAACAGATTTTGTTGTCCCACAAAAATGCTTTTCTGCTGTGAATACATAGGATGGTTTGTGTTTGCTTCCTTTCCTTAGAAGGTTTTGGGTTTGGGGTGGGAGGTAACTATAATTATGTTGTCAGTCACTCTTCTTGTTTTGGCTATGCTATTGTTTTTGTTTCTAGATATTTTTCATATAATGACTTTATATCTTCAGTTTATCTTTACTTAATATTATACCTGAAGGCATATCCTAGGATCCTTTTTCCTACTTTATGAAACTAATATGGTCCTGTCGTAGAGACTTTGAAACTTCTTGCTATCTAAAAATAATGGCTTTTAGAGGTGCCTGACTGACTTGGTTGGTAGAGCATGTGATTCTTGATTTTGGGGTCATGAGTTTGAGTCCCACATTAAGTGTAGAATTTAAACAAAATAATGGTTTTGGGGGGTGCCTCGGTGGCCCAGTTGGTTGAGCATCTGCCTTTGGCTCATGTCATGATCCCAGGGTTTGGGGATTGAGCCCCTCATTGGCCTCCTTGCTCCATGGGGAGCCTGCTTCTCCCTCTTCTTCTCCCTCTCCCTGCCGCTTCCCCTGCTTATGCACTCTGTCAAATAAAATATTTTTAAAAATCGCTTTTAATAATTTGCACTATTATCTTTTAGTATTATTTCTGAATGTGTGTATATATTAATAATATTATAATTTTATAATTTTTATTTATTTAAATATTTTATTTATTCATGAGAGGCAGAGACACGGCAGAGAGAGAAGCAAACTCCTCACAGGGAGCCTGACTTATATATGTGTGTAAGCTCCATCTATTTGGAGTAATATTTTATGGCTGGATGACAGCCTGTGACAGGATTTCAAAGACTTTGAACATCAGGAAGAGTAGCAAACTAGTCTTGAAGCAGGAGAACAGTTTAATCTATTTCTAGAATTTAAGTTTTCTATGAACAGATGAAGACTTACTCACTTCTGTATCCCTAACCCTTTTCCTATACTCAGCAGTGGATATTTGTTAATTTGGTGAGTTTGTTCTACCATCAACTATAACTATCTTCTCTTCCGCTTTGAGTATTACCACTTTTAATAAAAGCACTTTGTCAGTTTGATAGGTAAAGTATCTTATTCAAATTCGTATTTTTTATTATATGAATGAGTGTTTTAAAATGTTTATTAAGTACATGGATTTAGTTTTTGAGAGTTAATCTGTTTAAGTAGTCTAGACCTGAGTTGTTCAGTGTAGTAACCACTACCTCATGTAGCTGTTAAACACTTTGAATTGAGTTGTGCTTTAGGTGTAAAATATACTGGATTTTGAAGTCTTACAGTGAAAAACAATGTAAAATGTCTCAATAATTTGTTAGTATTGGTTTCATTTTGAAATGACAATTTTTAGATCTATTGGTTAAAATGCATTATTAAAATTAATTTCATCTGTTGGTTTTTGTTTCTAATGTTGACTACTAGAAAATTCAAATTTATGTATCTGGTAAACTTTATATTTCTACTGGGCAGTACTAATCTAGACGGTAACCTAATCATGAGGTGATTAGGACCTGAATTAGGGTAGTATTTATAGAAAGAAAAGTAAGGAAGGATTTTAAGAAATTCTGCAATATGTGCATGTACTGTATAATCTCTTTTACATTACAAGATATTTTACAGTTTTGATGTACTTCAATCATGACTTTGTAATCAATAATAAGCTTCTTTTTTTTTATGATTTTATTTACTCATTCATGAGAGACACACAGAGAGAGGCAGAGACATAGGCAGAGGGAGAAGGGGACCTGATCTCAGGACCCTGGGATCACAACCTGAGCTGAAGGCAGATGTTAAATCACTGAGCCACCTAGGTGCTTCTCAATAGTAGGCTTTTTGAGAGCAAAGACTACATTACTATTTTGAAATTCTTTTCTACATCGTCTGTTTTGCTGGGTACATAGTAGCTTGATTGAATAAGAATAGGACATCAAATAATCTTAAACTCAAATTTTTATTTTTATTTTTTTTATTTTTTTAAATTTTTAAATTTTTTTTTAATTTGAATTTTTAGAATGCAGATCAATGATTCCTAGAGTTCTTATATCTTTTGTTTTAATATCCTGTTATCACTACCTAGTCAGATCAGTCCTATCTTTTTTAAAAGGTACAAGGGTAAGGGAACTAACATCCAATCCTATCTGTACCAGGCTCTGGGTAGTCATTTTATATATATTTTTTCGTAACCTGTGAGAAAGATAACCACCATTTTATAAGTTAGGAAACTGTGATTGAGTAATTTTTATATTGTTATGGTATTAATCCAGATACGATCAACTTCAAAGCTAGCACTTTATCCATTGTAGTTTACCATCTTGATTAAAGTTAGTTATTTTAAGTGACTTGAGGTTAGTCTAATATTGTGGTTGACATGAATTAAAGAAGAACAATCTTGAGAGTGAAATGTACAATGATAAATTTTAATAGTTTATGATGTATATATTATGTGTTCCATGTTAATATATGACAGGAAATTTGGAAATCTGTTTCTCTAGACCTGAGAGGAAGAATAAAAGGCATGTTTGCTTTTCATTCTGATTTTTCATGGTATATTCTAGATTCTGTATAGTTCTTGGGGGAAAATTACAAGAGTTTTAAATATTTCCTTTGTTTTGTCTTTCAGATAAAATCAAAGACAAAATTAAAGAGAGAGATAAAGAAAAAGAGAGAGAGAAGAAGAAGCATAAAGTAATGAATGAGATCAAGAAAGAAAACGGAGAAGTAAAGATTTTGCTGAAAAGTAAGTTTATAATTCAGTGATTTTGTTTGTTTGTTTTATTTATTTGACAGAGCAAGCACCAGCAGGGGGAGCAGGAAAGGGAGAAGCAGGCTCCCCATTGCGCACTGAGCTTGATGCGGGCGGGGCTCTATCCCAAAACTCTGGGATCATGACCTGAGTCCAAGGCAGACGTTCAATCGACTGAGCCACACAGGCGTCCCTATATTCAGTGATTGCTCATTGTACTTTAGCTTAGTGATTCAAATAAAGGTTTGTTGCTGAATTTTGCTGACAATAAACTTTAATAGTGAGAATATGGAAAGTTTTATAATAGTGAGGGGTTCTAATCTGTATGGTAACATCTTTAGTATACTTCATTTGTGTGTAATGAAAAAGTAGAAGAGGTTAGGCTTCATTAAACTATTAGGTTCCTTGAAGTAGGTTATCTAATTCTATGTTTGCATTACTAGTTTTTACCCATACTTAGATCATCTAAAAAGGCTAAAACAATTTTAGTAAGATAGGGATGGTAGAAGAAGTGAGCTTAAAAATATTTGACAATAATCACCATATCATAGTCTGGTATCATAGAGGGAACATTTTACTTTGACCTGAATTAGAAGGTATACTGTTTTACTTTGTGTGTGTGTTGCAGGGTAAAGAATGCCCTCTTTTTTTGTTTCCTGTTTTTTCTCTATTGTTACATTTGTTTTCAGTTGCTATTTATACTTAGGGGGTGGTTGTTGGGTAATAATACAAATCCTATCAATAAATCTGAACTTTTTAAAGGAATATGTGGGTAGAAATTGAAGTAAGGACAGTCTTAAATTTACTCTGATAGCAACATAAGAATCAGTGGCAGTCTGGTTGCTAGACAGCTAACAAATTCATTAGCTGCCCCTATTTAGTTGAGAATTTGCAGGTCAGAACATACTGACTTTGATTAATTTGATGTTAGACTTATGTGTTAATATACCATTATATCCACATTAAGAAGAAAAGGCTATCGTACTGTATGTGTAATGAAATAACTGGATAAACTTTATATTATTTAGGACAAACAGAATATTAGAGTCTATATTTTCATTTTTGTCATGTTTCCTGATTTTTTTTTTTTGTCACACTTTATTTAAGCTCTATTTTCTACTTGTCAGAATTTTATATTTTGTAAAGTTCTTTTGACCTTGGAAGAAATAGGTCTGAGCTTAAGTGGATGGCTACTTAGTAAATGCTCGTGGTCCTTTTATTCTGTTTCTTTTGACAATGTGTTTTATTTGTGTTGTTTAATTAGAGTGTAAGCCTTTGAGGCAGGAATCAAATCTAGCCACACTAGTGCTGTACAGAAGCTAATGATTCATGCTTGAAGTGTTTACTTAACTTTACCCTGTTGGTTTAGTCAAATAGTCATTTTTTACTGGTTTAGTCAGATAGTCATTTTCTTATCCAGTGGAATGTACAGTGATGAAAATTCCTGTTGCTCAATTGAATGTTGGATTCCTTACATACCATTAACGTGAAATATGTGAATCTAGAGATTACATATGCAAACAAAATTTAAAATAATTTTAGAAAATGGGAGATGCTTCAGTAATATGCAATAGTAACCTTGACTTTGAAGTAGATGAAAAATCTAGGAGATATTTTGAAGTGAGCTAAACTGAAAACCTAGTGAGGATAAAGGGAAAAAATATTTTTGGAAATGAATTAGTATAGTGACCTCTGAGATAACCATGGGAAAATGTATTTACTGTAAAACAGAGGTAAATGATAACTTAATTACTGACTTACAGGGTTGTGAAGATTAAATGAGGTAAAGTATGGTAGAGGTGCTAACTATGGTGTTTGGCCCACATATAATTCAATAAGTGGATATGAATCTTTTTTGTAAACGTGTATGAAAGATTAAATCTTGTGATTGCAAAACAGCAACAAAATTATCTCCTCCCTGGGTAATATATAGATAATTAAATGAATAAAACATGATTCCTTTGGGAAATAATGCCTGTCCTATCATAAGCACCAAGTAAGTGTTAGCTATTGTCATTATCCAATAAAAAGTTTGCTCTGCTAGTCTATAATCAGGGAAAGGCCCTCTTTGTTTATAGTATCGTGTAGCAACAACAGAATCAATTTGGTGGAGGCCGTGTACTGTTACTTACTACTGTGTGCCCTTTTTTGCCTCATGGCTTTCAGCCTTTATTTTGTCCTTATAATTTTCTCCTTGTAATAATGCTAATGTTGCAAGCAATGGCACACTTGGGCATTGATTGTTTGATGACAGCACTTGCACATCTAAAATAGATTCTGTTAACTCCATACCAGCCTCATTTCCTTCAGGTTTTCATCAAAAACTGCATCAGATTGAATATGACTAGAAATGTGTACATAATTAAATACATGCTAGAAAGTTTTTATTAATGCAGAAATCCATAAAATAGGATAATGTGCTTTATGAGAAATAGTTTAAAGGAACAAATATATTTGACACATAAGCTTTTTTTTTTTTAAGATTTTTGTTTATTTATTCATGAGAGAGAGAGAGAGAGAGAGGCAGAGGGAGAAGCAGGCTCCCTGCGGGGAACCCGATGTGGGAATCGATCCCGGGACTCTAGGACCACGCTCTGAGCTGAAGGCAGGCACTAAACCACTGAGCCACCCAGGGATCCCCGACACATAAGCTTATTTAGCTCATCCTTTTATATTAATGTCTGCCAACTACTTATACTGAGCATAATTATATGTTCCAGCCATTTCTATGTTGTGAGAAGTTGTAAGAACAGAGATATTCATGATTATAGTGTTTTTGAGAAGTTTTATTATAGTATATCAGAGAAGCTTTCTGGTGAGCATGGGGGAATGGGAATTAAAAAAAGCCAATATCCAAGATTATTGGTAGTTTACCAAAGGTCACAGGTAGGTAATTCATGTCAGGAAGAGTGAAAATAATGCTGTGCATAAAAAGCAAAGTCATTCTCTATAAAGACCAGAGGTTGAAAATAGCTAAGCTAATTACTACTTTTTTTCTATGTATGATAATGAAGTTATATATAAATATTAATTCCCATATTAGATGTGAAATTAGAACCAATTTTTCTGGGCAGCCTTTCTTTTTTCTTTTTCTTTTTTTTTTTTAAAGATTATTTATTTATTCATGAGAAACAGAGAGAGAGAGAGAGAGGCACAGACACAGGCAGAGGGAGAAGCAGGCTCTGCAGGGAGCCCAACGTGGGACTTGATCCCAGGTCTCCAGGATCAGGCCCTGGGCTGAAGGTGACGCTGCACTGCAGAGCCACCCACGCTGTCCTATTTTTTTCTATTTTTTTAATTTATTTTTTATTTTTTCTATTTTTAACACTAAAAGTATACTAAGGTTAGTGGTGGAAATTAATGCCAGTAAATTTGTGATTTTTTTAAAGTTTTTTTATGTGATTAGCTATTAACACATAATTTTTTTTTTAAGATTTTATTTATTTAAAGAGAGACACATACAGAGAGGGAGAGGCAAAGACGTAGGCAGAGGGAGAAGCAGGCTCCATGCAGGGAGCCTGACTTGGGACTCTATCCCGAGTCTCCAGGATCAGGCCCTGGGTTGAAGGCGGCACTAAACCGCTGAGCCACCCGGGCTGCCCCACATAATTTGTTTTTATATCTGTTTCTGTGTGTTTTGTTTTGTTTTTTTGAGTGAGAGTCTCATTTTCTCTGGCTGCTTTTGTGTGCCTTCCTCTGTATCTCATTCTCTCTTTGCATTTTCATATCTGTGGTTCTGTGTGTATATGTGTGTTTGTATGGGGTCCACTGTGTGTGTGTATCTATGTCTTGGGGGATGATCCCCTATCAACCTTACACGTTCATACTTTTTGAGGGTCCATATTATGACAGCTCTTCTTTCTGTTACGGTTATTTATCAGGATCCTTTAAAAAATATATAGGTCTGATTTGAAGAATTATAGGATTTAGAGAAATGTGTGCTTTAAATACTTCTTAGTGTAAGGGAAGAACATTGATATTCAAAATGGTCTAATTTCCTTAAAGTATTTAAACATTTTCTCTTGGGATCCCTGGGTGGCGCAGCGGTTTGGCGCCTGTCTTTGGCTCAGGGCGCGATCCTGGAGACCCGGGATCGAATCCCATATCGGGCTCCCAGTGCATGGAGCCTGCTTCTCCCTCTGCCTATGTCTCTGCCTCTCTCTCTCTGTGTGACTATCATAAATAAATAAATAATATAAATAAATAAACAAACAAACAAATAAATTTTCTCTCTATATGTCTGCTGCATTTCATGTCATTCTAAGATAGGAAATGAATGATAGATTATATAAAACTTTAAAAATCTATCTAGTGAATGCTGGTGCCTTGGTTTGGTTTAAATGTAAATAATGCATTTTACTTGTGTCCATCAGAGGTCCCCGAGACTACCCCAGGTTTGGTGATTTGCTAAAGGACTTACAGGACTCAGCATATAGATGTACTCATGGCTATGATTTACTGTAGCGGAGGATACAAAGTGAAATCAGTTGAGAGAGGAGGCAAATGGGAGGAAGTCTCTAGACACAAGCTTCTAAGAGTACTCTTCAAGTGGAGTCACACAGGATACACTTAATTTTTTGAGTAGTGAACTGACAACTCATGTGAAATGTTGTCTACCAGGAAGTTCATTAGAGACTTGGTGCCCAGGGTTTCTATTGAATGTTGGTTACATAGGCACCTTCTGTCTAGCATCTACCAAAATTCCAGGCTCCCAGAAGGAAAACAGGTATTCAGCATAAACAATATCGTTGACACAAAAAGTTTAGGTACAGTGATCCACTCCTATCAGCGAATTGTGGGAACATTCCCAAAGAACAAGTTTCTCAGATGCCAGCCAAGGGTCAACCTTGCGAGCAGGCCTTTCTAAGATTAGCAGTCTCAGGCATGTTATGTTAACTCTCTTCTGCATACTGTGCTCTCTTTAGTATTTAATTACAGAGTAGTTTGTCTTGGGAATTTAATTCTTTGATGCTCATTATGAGACTCTCTTCACTGATTTTTTTTACTATTTTACATTTTTCAGTTTCTGTTTAATACTATTACTATTCTTATCCATTCTCGTGACTAGAAAATAAATAGGCTGTTATGCCTATTTCATTTCAAAGTAACATGTATTCTAATGACTGGATATTTTCTGTTTTACTTTTTAAACATATGCTAGGCATAAATGTGATATAATATTAAACTTATATTTTCATTCAAATGAAATTGTTTTGGCAATCCATATAACTTGTGTAATTTTACTGTGTTTTCAATTTAGTTATTATACTTAGGCCTTTTAAACTTTATGTTTTGTTTTTAAATTCATTTCTTTTTTCCTTGATATAGTTGGGTTTTGCTTACATATAAAACCTCTTTGGGGGCACCTGGGTCGCCAGTCATTTAAGTGTCTGCCTTCAGCTCAGGTCATGATCTCAGGGTCCTGGGATTAAGCCCCATATCAGGCTTCCTGCTCAATAAGGAGTCTGCTTCCCCTCTCCCTCTTGCTCCCCTGACTCATGCGTGCTCACTGTCTCTTGCTCTTTCTCGAATAAATAAAATCTTAAAAAAAAAAATCCACTTATTTTTTCATTTTGATTACCTCCCTGTTTTTTATTATTAATTTTGTTCTTAAGATACTTACCTGAATCGAATATTTCGATACTTCATCCAAGGTTCCAAGTATGAATTTGTTAATATATTTACTTACTTGTGGTCTCTGTAGAGAATTTTATGGCTTTACAAATCTCAGTAAAGTTGAAAGGCTTTTATTTTTGCTTTTTGTGATTATACCAATTTAGTCTTCATTGCATATTTATGAATTTTTAGAAGTAATGGTTTATTGTTAACATTAAACTCCCTTTTTTAGAATTGCTATTAACTTGAGAGAATTTTCTTTTTAAAAAAGATTTGTTTATTTATTTGAGAGTGAGCAGGAGGGGCAGGGGGAGAGAGAGAGAATCCCAAGCAGACTGCACGCTTGAATGTGAGCCCATCAAGGGTCTCCATCCCACAACCCTGAGACTACAATCTGAGCTGAAATCAAGAGTCTCACGCTCATCCAACTGAGCCATCCAGGTGTCCCACCTTGAGAGAATTTTTATATTTGTTGTTTCCAAGATTAGGAGTTGATGGTATTTATATTCTGGAAAACTGTGGCTGTAAAGGGGACAAGGAAAAATTCCACAGATCTCAGTTGGTGAGAGAAATCTTTTCGTTCATGGATTCATTAAATATTCATCTATAGCAAAGTATTAAATAACATGAAGGATACAGTGATGGGGAAAAAATATCACTTCACTTTGAATTCATATAAAAGTTACTTGTTTCACTCATATAATATATGGAAGGACACATGATATACAAGTATCCTATGAGTGAAAAAATAACTTTGTATGAATTTAGAATGAAGTGACTCCAGTTCCAATTAGAGAAATGAGAGAAAGCAAAATGAAGGAATTGATACGAGTTGTCTTTAAAGAATGGGTAAGAAAGAGGTCAGGAGTAAGTACTGGGCTGGATAAGGGTATTTTAGGGAGAGAGGAAATGACTTTGCAAGTGATAGAAAGATAAGGTAGGGCTAGCTGTTTTATAAGAAATTGTAAATAGTGCAGATTGACCAGAGAATGAAGTACTCGAGAGCATTGTCTTGGGATTCCATACTGAAGTGATTATATTTTATTTGGGAGGCATTGAGAACCCTTGAAAGAAGTGTACTCAAGGGATGAATATGATCAAACAATATATAAAACTTACAGAAAGATTAATACTGCTCTAGCATTTAGGATGACAGTCAAGAGACTATTAGACCAAGAATTAATAAAGAAGTGAAAAATCAAGGACGAACAGGATATTGTTGAATCTTGGAGAGATGGGAAGAATGATTTGAAAGAATATCACTGAATTTGATATTTGAATGTTCCGGGAAAGTAAATCTGAGTAGACTAGAAGCAGACCTAGAATTTAAGGGATGAGAATGATAAGGTAATAGACAGAAGGCACTTGGCATAGATGATTCTTTAAGAAGAGTTTGGTCAAAAGAAGAGGAGAGGAAACTATATTTTTTGTAACGGTTTTTGGAGTTGGTGGGAAGGGCTTATTTTTGAAAAGTCTGCAGGACATCTCACTAGAGACAAGAATAAAAGACATTTGTGAATATGAAACCATTTAGGTAAGGAAGTAGACTGAGAAAATTTAATTCATAACAGGCAATCTGTAAAAAGTGAAGTAACAGGTGGAAACAGTAAATGCCTTCTTAACTCTTACTGGCTTTCTCATATTAGGAAGCATGTTTTCTTGTGAAGGTGTTTACTTTCTCCTTTTTTTCTTATTGTACAGAAATATATTGTGATAATGTTACATGATTATAGGTACACTTAGTCTGTAGCTATATAGACTCTGAATTACTCTTTTATTTTTTGAAGTTCTAAATTTCTGGGCCCAGAGTCTACTTCAGTTACATAAGCTCATTAATATATAAGCTTATAATGCCCCAAGTCTTTTACTTTTATACTTATCTCTTTATTAGTACATGGGTATACTTTATTTATGCTTAGAATGTGAGAAATTATTCTATCATCTTCCTTATGGCACCTTATTGGATCTTCATCAGGAACTTTGCAAACTCTAGTGGACCTCTAAAATAGCCCATTTTAGATGAGAGAGTAGTTTTATTAAGGAGGAAATATGGTAAAAAGCTAAGGAAATGCTGTGTTTGTTACTGTTTTACTATGCAAGTCGTTTTCTCCCATTATGATTTACAAGTATTGATAACTACATGCAATTTTGAAGAACTTAGATGAGTAAGAATGATGATATATATCAGTGGGAAACATCTGGAGGTTGTTTTTCATATTGACCTCTGTTCAGCATCCCATTTCTGATTTTCTCCCTTTAAATTTGAAGAATATACTTTCTGTAATGTCCATTCATTACTTCAGCAAACACTGAGAATCTGCTACATGTCAGAATGGTACCATGGGAGACTATAGGTATAAGTTTGTTCTAGACAGTTCCTTAAGCATGATTTTTTTAAGTAACTACAATACAGAGTTAAAAAAATTTTTTCCCCTCACAGGTGGGAAGGAGAAACCAAAAACAAATGCAGAAGACTTACAAATAAAAAAGGTAAAGAAGAAAAAGAAAAAGAAACACAAAGAGAATGAAAAACGGAAGCGTCCAAAAATGTATAGCAAATCAATTCAAACCATCTGCTCAGGATTGCTATCTGATGTTGAAGATCAAGAAGCCAAAGGCATCCTAAGTGATAATGTAAAGGATTACAGTGGAAAGAATTTGGATAACAAGAACTATGATTCCAAAATTCCAGAGAATAATGAGTTTCCATTTGTCTCATTAAAGGAGCCACGGGTTCAGAATAACCTCAAAAGGTTGGACACTTTGGAGTTCAAACAGCTCATTCATATTGAGCACCAGCCTAATGGAGGCGCATCCGTTATCCACGCCTACAGTAATGAACTCTCCCACCTGTCTCCTGTGGAGATGGAGAGGTTTGCAGAAGAGTTTGTGGGTCTAGTGTTCAGTGAAAATGAAAACTCTGCAGCTTTCTATGTAATGGGTATTGTTCATGGGGCAGCTACTTATTTACCTGACTTTTTAGACTACTTTTCATTTAATTTTCCCAATTCACCAGTGAAAATGGAGATATTAGGAAAGAAGGATATAGAAACGACGACTATGTCCAATTTTCATGCTCAGGTAAGAGGTTTTTAGTTTTGTAGGGTTTTTTTTTTTTTTTTTTACTTTTAGTTAAATGTTTTTGTTTTTGTTTTTGTTTAAATAGTTAAATGTTTTAGACAAGTTTCTGTTCATTTTACTGTAGGTTTGAAATAAAAAGGTAAGAATATAATGACAACTCTTGGGAATATTAAGAATAAATTACTTTATTGTGTAAACATAAGAGTATGAATTTCAGAGTCTACTTAATCTCTTTTTTCTTAAAGATAATTATTGAAATAGGATTCTGTTGTCCTTTTTTGCAAGTATTTATCTTGGAAATGAAAGGACTGAAATGAATTTAGCCATGTATTTTCCATGTAAGCAGTTCCCTTACATGAAAATCACCTAAAGTTGTCTTCTTGCTTTATGCCTTAAAATTGCTTGCTGCTCGATGCATCACATAGTAGGTGCTGAGTAAATGTCGGCTGTTAAATATATTGTCGTATAAAGGAATCAGTTAATTGTACTATTATGTGAGAAAAGTAGCACTGCATTTACTGAGCTAACTTCCTTTCCTATCCTTTTCTATAGAATAGAATGTCCATCATCTTAGACAGTGGAGGCAAAATCTGGTCCACTGACTCTTGAAAGTGAATGTGCACTCCTCTGAAAGGCCATTGCCATTGGTCACCCACTCTTAGATCAGGGACTGCTTAGGCCAGGAGATTAGCTGATTTTCATATTTATTGGTGCTGAAGTCTCCAGTTTTCTAAGTAATAATTGACATTATTCTAATTTGGAAGGAGGGAAAAAAGTAAAGAAAGTGTGAAAGGGATCTTAGTGATCATCTGTCGCAACCTTTCTCAATTTACAAATAAGCAAACAAACATAGATAGGCGTAACTTTCTATTTTAAGTTTGGCAGCAGTACCAGGAGTAGAACACAATCTCCTTAATCCTTATCCAGAACTGTTTTACTTACTCTGAGTATATTTCTTTTTTTTGATGTTTAAGTTACAGTTTCCAACTATTTAAGGTCTGGACATCCAGTCACATCCACACATACTTTTATTTCTGATTTCTTGATTCTTCCTAGGTAAAGCTCTGTCTCTCTCTCTCTCTCTCTCTCTCTCTCTCTTTTTTAAAGCTCTGTCTCTTAATCTAATTTGTGGTATCCCTCCAGAGAATGATTTTTTTTTTAAACCATTTATAGAGTTTTTTATTTGGGAAAATGCTTTATGAGTTACAGGGACTAACAACATGTACTTGGAGCTAAACCAGTCTATAACTTGAGGTTTTTCTTGTCCCTTGTCCTAAATTTGGAACCTCTCTTCCAGATTTAATTTGTAGTAATACTTTATAGTCATTGTAGTGAGTTGTGACTGGGTTAATGTGGGTAGCTGGAGGAACTCTGATATGGGGTGGATGGAAAGAGAAGGGGGGCTAGTCCTGGTCTTGACATGTACCAAATGTGACACTAGACAGCTGCTTTAGCTCTATGTCTCAGTTTTCTCACCTACAAAATAAAGATAATTCAGTTCATTCTGTTGGTTAGAAATATTTCATAGAACATTAACAGGTTATACAAAGAGAGTTATACTGACTTGGTAAAATATTATGACTTTCCACTTTGTTGAATAGATGATGGCTGGCTTCTGAATGAGGATTTTTGAGTGTGTTCATTTAAGGTAGGGAGTTCAGCAACTACTAAAAATAAAAAATTACCACAAATACTTTTTATATAGATAAGGAGTTGACTAAATTATGGTATATGCACACAGTGGGATATTGTTAAGCCATAAAAAGGAATGAAATACAGATACATGATGTGGATGAACCTTCAAAACGTTATGTTGAGTGAAAGAAGCCAGTCACAAAAGGTCACATGTTGTATGATTTCACTTATATCAAATACCTAGAATAGGCAGATTGGTGGCTGCCAGGACCTGGGGGAAAGGGACTTGAGGTAAGCATGGGGCGGTAGTGGGGGGTGCATCTATCTATTCAAGACAGTGATTTCATTTCCTTTGGTTAAAGACCTAGAAGTGAAATTAAATTGCTGGATCATATAATAGTTTTATTTCTCATTTTCAATTAAAAATTTTTTAAAAAATAAACTTTTTAAAGCTTTTGTTAAACTGATTTTTTAAATATACCTTATTGCAGTATACATACACAATGCACATATTATAAGTGTATAGCTTAATGAAGCTTTACTAAATGAACACACCTATGATTTTTAAAAGTAGAATATTACTAGTAGTTCCTCTTTATCACTACTGTGCACTCCCCCATATATACACAAAGACCCAGGTATCCACTTCCTGACTTCAGATAACACAGATAAATTTTGCCTGTTTTTGAACTTTTATATAATAGGATCAAATAGTATGTGAATTGTTGTGTGTGGCTTCCTTCCTTTAGCATTATGTTTGTGAGATTGATCTATCTTATATGTAACAGTGGCTTATTTTCTTATTGTGGTATGGTATTCTATTGTATGAATAAACCACAGTTTATTTGTTTTGTTTACCAAGGATGTTTGTTTCTAGCTTGTGGCTGTTAAAATAGGGGTACTGTGAATATTATTGTACGTATGTTTTGATGAACATATGTATTTCTTACTGTTTGGTATGTATTTAAGATTGGAATTTCAGGATCAAAAAGTGTGCAAATGTTCAGCTTTATTAGATACTACAGGTTTTCCAAAGTTGTACCAATTTACATTCCTACCACCAGTGTTTGACATCTGTGGCTACACTTAGTAGTGTCTGTCCCTTCATTTTAGCCATTCTGGTGGCTGTGTAGTAGTATCTCATTGTGGTTTTAATTTGCATTTTCCTGATGACTAAAGAAATCAAACTTCTTTTTATATAATTATTGTCTAGTTGGTTATCTTCTTTCTAAAACTAGTGTACTCTTTTTTATATTTTCCTATTGGCTTTTCTTTTTAATTGATTTGTTGGAGCTCTTAATATATTGTGGACAAAAATCTTGTCAGCTCTGTGTATTGCAACTATGTCCTCTCATTGAGTGGCTTGCTTCTGACTCTTTTTTTTTTTTAAGATTTTATTTATTTATTCATGAGAGACACAGAGAGAGGCAGAGACATAGGCAGAGGGAGAAGTAGCCTCCCCATGGGGAGCCTAAATGCGGGACTGGATCCCAGAATTCTGGGATCATGCCCTGAGCTAAAAGCAGATGCTCAACCACTGGAGCCACCCAGGCGTCCTTTCTTTTCACTCTTAAGACACTCTTAAGAGTGTCTTTTGGTGACTGGAAGTTCTTAAATTTAATGGGATCTCATTTATAAGTTTTTTTCCTTCATGTATGATTTGTGCTTTTGTGTGCTGTTTAAGAAATCTTGCCTACCCCAGGTCATTAATGTATTCTCTGAAGTTTTCTTCTGAAACTTTTGTTTTACCTTAATGTATTCTCTGAAGTTTTCTTCTGAAACTTTTGTTTTACCTTTTGCATTTAAACCTACGGTTCTCCTGGAATTGATTTTTGTGTATGGTATGAAGTAAGCATCAAGGTACATATTTTTCCATTTGGTTCTTCGTGGACATGATCATTTATTGAAAAAGGCACTCATTCCACATTATATTACAGTGCCATCTTAGCCATAAATCAGCTGGATCATATATATGGTGTGGGTTTCTGGGCTCTAATTTCATTATTCTGTTTGTCTTAATTGCCTTAACTTTATAATGAAACTTAGTATCAGAGTAAATATCGATTTTGCTGTTCTTCAAGATTTTCTTGGCTATTTATATTTTCATATAAACTTTATGGTTTGTCAGTCACAGAAAAATCTGCTTAGGATATTGATTGGGATTACATTGAAGTTATAGTTAAGTTTGGGTAGAATTGATGTCTTCTAGTCCATAATCATGATATCTCATACCTTCATTTGTCTTTTATTTTCTCTCAATAATATTTTTTTTCATCCTATAGATCTTACGTCTTTTGAGGTTTGTTCCTAGGTATTTGAGGATTTCATTTTATTGATCACTGTTATTAAAAATCTGGAAGTTTTGAGTACCTTTTAGAAGATGACATTGACACTCACCTTGAGAAATTAAAAATGTATCTTGTGCCTTAGTTCTCTTCCAGTATCCTTCTTCCCCTTATCTATAGCATTATCATGCATCATGCATGCTTGTTAGTAGAATCACATAGTGAAGCTGTGTATTTTGGTGATGTTAAATGAATTAGCCTGTGAATTTGTCTTCACTGAAGAATTGGTTGAAATAACAGTAATCGAACTAATTGTGTGTTAGTATTCTAGAGGAAGAAGGAAAGGAGGTATCAATATTAGAATGTAGTTTCACTTAATATCAACCATAGTGAAAACCAGTTGTGAGAAAGAAAGCCAAATTCATGTTCTAGCTTGATGATGTGATCAGGACTTCTTGTAAACAAAGTTGAAGAGGTTAGTAGGTTCAGTAGAATCTGCTGTATTTGAGAGAGAATGCTTTTTACAGAGCAGAGTAAAGCAGACCTGTAGGGAAGTTTTGAATTTTAAAATTTTATAATCTAGTAACTACTCTTTAATTCCCCCTTTCTACCTTTTATATTCTGAAAAACCTTTATTCCAAGTCAAAACCAGTCTGAAAAGCAGTATTCAAGAGATGTATAAACATGATTGAATGAGTTAATAGAGAAGGGTACAAATCTAACCTTTGTTGTTTTTATTTAATCTTAGTTTGGAATATACATTTAGCATTAAAGAAATTCATGATAATGAGTATTTGTGTAATGAATTATTGGCACTATTTTTAGTGGGTAAAATAGTATAATATGTTAAGATACATATTCTGTATTTTCTTGTATTCTAATATTGTACTCTGTGCAAATATTGAGGCTTGAAATGTAAATACAACTTCATTAACTTCAGTTTTAAAACAGATCCTCATATGCCCAGGTATGTATCAGAACCAAAGAATTAATACCACCAGCAGGGCCACTGTATATGATGGACCTAAGTTGTTACTGCAGCTATTGATAATGCAGCCTGGTGGCTCTGTCAGTGCCTTGTGGAACCCAACTAAGTCCATCTTCATGAGACTAGTTCCCGCCCTCCCTTCCTTCCTAATTAAAATCCAAGCAGCTAGAATTTAACCAAAATTCATTTGCCTTCAATTCGGTGGAAACTAAAATATAACAAATGATATAGACATTTCTGTGACCTTTATAGTGATAGCGTTTGTGATATTACTCTGTAGTTTTCACAAAAACTTTTTTGTACCTGTTTAGCCTTTATCCTTGAAACATGTTAATTTGAGGTTTTTTTTTGTGGATTTATGTGTTTATGTGTATACACACAGTACACATATACATGGCAGTGACAGAGAATCAAGACATCCTAGTCTTTGAACGGTTTTGGAATTTTTTTTAGTTGTATAATAATGTTTCTCATCTTCATCTGTATCCTTGCAGGTTGCCTGAAAAATTTAAAGACCATGTGAAATATAGATATTGTTTTAATAGATCATGTCATGTCTCTAATATTGTGGCTGTGAGGTTAGTGATATAATGTCAAACTGTATGATAAAAGTCTTTGAGAAGAAACATATACATGGATTTTTTGTTGTAAGTTCATAACCTATCTGTATCAGTTCTTTTGCTGTGGAAAACAAAACCCTAGAAGCAATATCCTAAAGTGATTTCTCACAATTCTTTGGGCTGTCTGGAGAATTTTTATGGTTTTTGTCATCTTGGCTGGGGTTGGGTGGCTTCATTCACATGGCTAGCGGTTGGCAGGTCAATTGGTCTTAGGAGATCTTGTTTGTATGTCTAGTGGTTGGTGTAGTTGTCAGCTGGAGTGATGATCACATTTCTCTCCTCATGTAACAAGTTAGCCTGGGCTCATACACATGGTGGTTGTTGTAGGGTTTCTTTTTGTTTGTTTGTTTGTTTGTTTTTGTTTTTTTTTTTTTTGTTGTAGGGTTTCATAGAGAAAAAAAAGGGCAGCCCCCAGTGCACAAGCCTCTGCTTGTGCTGTGTTTGCTAATCTCCATTGGGCAAAGGAAGTGAAATGGCCATACCCAGATTCACTTCTTGATGATGCAGTTATGCTGCTCAGAAATGAGCATCTGGGAAGAATTTTTGGCCATTTGCAACCTCCACATTTGTCCTAGCTTTTCTACCATCTCCATCTTGTTCAGATATTAATTTGATAGTAGGGAAACAAAAAGGCAAGTGAGACAAGGAGTTTTGTCTGTCAAGGAATAAATGAGATTTCTTTGTCACTCAGTATTTAATCAGCCACATACTGTGAACCCTATAGTTAGAGCTGTGAGAATATTAAAACTGGAGCAATTGTCTTCTAACCACTTTCTCCTCCCCCAAACTCTAAATCTTGTTTTTTATTTTATCCTAATTCTGAGTTGTTTGTATCAAATAACTTAGGTCAGGGTGTTAACTCATGATTAAAGTGGTTAATATCTTAATAGTGAAATAATTATTATTTTTTTTAATAGTGAAACAATTATTAAATCTGATCTGATCTGTTAAGCTTTGCCACTCTGCAAAATGAAGAGAATTAACTTACTGACTTCTTGCTGAGGTCATAAAGACCATTTGATATACCTTCTTTGAACCATCAGCTACCTTTTTACTAAATTCTCATTTTGACCATTTGTGCCAGTCACATCTTCCTTGAGTGCTTAGGAGCTGATCTGTATACAATATTATTTTGGCAGGTACCAGATGCTCTAATTGAGACAGGGGAATTTTTCCTTTATTATACAGATTTTAAAGTGAATAATAACTCATTTTAGTTGAAGGCATATGGGTATTTTTGAAATAGAATGTTGACTAAAGGTCATTCATTACCTGTTATATTTTGATTTGAAAGGATATGTCAGATGTTATGGGAAATGGCTCCCTCTTGTGGCAGACTCATTTATGTTGGATTTTAGATTGCCTCTGTAAGAATGTGATGAGCTAAATCTTGTTTTTTAAAATAAGACTTTCCCTTCCTTCCCCCCTCCCCTCAAAACACCCAGTAGAATTGACCCAACAGCCTCTTCTTCTCCCCTCACCTCCTCAATTTTTGTGCTGATAACTATCAAATTTGTTATTGTATTTTCTTCAGATTGATGCTAATACTAGGTAGGAACATCTGTAATATCTTCTGTATTTATTATAGTTCATTATTATTCTATGTAACTTTTAATATTTTGAGATGTTGATAGATAAACAACCATGAGAAAAACAGGTTTTGAAGTCAGAACAGTTTATGTAATACTAAGCCAAATAAGTTGTGTTTACTGTGAGACCTCTCAGAAACGGTAGTACTGGGTGTGGTAAACCTCCCAAACAGAAGAGTTTCCCCCAAATTTACAAGACAATATAGAATCCTCTTTTCAGGGGCTGGCGTATCAGGAAACATATTTTGGGAAACAGCAAGTTGTTTCAAGTGAGTCATTCTTGTGGTTTCTTTGAATTCCTTATTACCATATTTGCTTCTTCCCTTGTAGCAATTTTTATATATAAAATAAGAGAAAACAGTTTTAAGTCTTAGAAATTTATTTTTGGTAGTGTTTCCCTGTCAGAAAAGCCACTTTATTCTTTTTGTAGCATGCTGGCCTCAGAGTCAGGTCTCTGGTGGTTTTTTTGTTTGTTTGTTTTTTAAGATTTTATTCATTTATTCATGAGAGACACAGAGAGAGAGAGAGGCAGAGACACAGGCAGAGGGAGAAGCAGGCTCTGCAGGGAGCCTGAGGTGGGACTCGATCCTGGGACTCCAGGATCACACCCTGGGCTAAAGGCGGCGCTAAACCGCTGGGCCACCCGGGCTGTCCTGCTTTGATATTTTCTGGTAAACTTTCTACTGCATCAGAAAACTGATGGTTTGATTAATGTTTTTGAAGTAAATAAAAGCAAATTTAGTAATCTCATGTCCACTATCATCAGGATGTGTGTGAGGTTTTCTAGTTAAGTGACTTTCTAGATAATGGAAGCCTTTAGTTTTAGATACCAAGATTTTAATGAGGATAACATTTTTAATGCAATATGCAAAAAAATTATACGCAATATAATTTAACTGTCTTCAGTCTAGGTTGGTCATTATGATGCTATAATACTGATTTCCTAGGGGAGCTGCAGCTATGTATGCTTGCTTTTTTTGACTCCTCCCATTTTAAATTTGTAGTTTCTTATTCTTTATGATTTTAGAGGTTAGAAATGTGCCTAATGTAGAAATGTGTGTCAGAAGAGACCCTTTTATGAGTCACGGTCTTATGGCATTTCTTTCGGCTACGTAGAGATTCTTTAAATCCTTAACCTGTTTCCTCCCCTATCCCACTATCCCTACAGCCCTTGAGTTGTAATTGTTGGATAGATGATTTTTGGAGAGTTGAACCTTTTTATCTTATAATTTGTAGATTTTATTTCATTCCATGTAATGGGATATTTGCTTATATAGTATTTAATAACATAGGTGTCATCTAAATCAAGAAGTATTTCCATTTTTGTGAAAGGTGTATGGATTGTATTATATTTTGTTTTAACTGCTTAAGTGCCATCTGTATATTTTATCAGATACATACTTTTTGAACTCGAATGCATTGTTATATGTAATTTGACATGTTTAAAACATTAAATAAATTCATGATTCCAACTGACTTAGTGTATGTTTGAATATTAGGTTATTAAACTCAAAAGTTGTGTTAAGTGGTATAGAAGTAAACCTATAAGAGTGCACTTTATTTTTTAAGATGTATTTATTTTGGAAAGAGGGAGAGAACACACATGCTGTACGCGTGGAGGTGGGGAGGGGCAGAGAGAGAGAGAGAATCTCAAGCAGACTTCCTGCTGAGCATGAAGCCCCACGGGGGGGGGGGGGGGCTCTCTCATGACTCTGAGATCACGACCTGAGCCAAGATCAAGAGTTGTAGACTTCATCTACTGAGCCACCCAGGTGCCCCATGAAAGCAAATTGTTTTCCTTTATAAAGATTCTTGTTTCTTAACATTAGGATATGAAAAGGCATAGACTTTTTTGCAGTATTTAAATGTGCTTGCTAGAATTCAGGTATCAAGATTTTTTTTTAAGTGGGTGGAGAGGGGCAGAGGGAGAAAGAACCTTAAGCTGGCTCCATGGAGCCTGATGTGGGACTTGGTCTCACGACCCTGGATCATGCATGACCTGAGCCAAAATCAAGAGTCAGATGCTTGACTGATCACCCACATGCCCTCAGATATCAAGATTCTTGAAGTGCAGGTTGTTATATTTCAGTTGATACTTGAATGCTACCCATTTGCTAGCATTGTGTGGGTGGCTTTATAGCTTTATGTAATTATTAAATTTCTTTCAGCAATCTGAGGTAAATAGTTCCATTTGAGGAAACTAAAACTCAATGAATTTATGTGATTTCTGAAGGTCACATAGCTGCTGGTGATAGTAGAAGTAAAGTTGGGACCTATCACACCTGATTCTCAATTTCTAGTAGTTTTTATCAGAGTTAATGACAGACATGTAAACTGGATTCTAATTAATATGGTATGATCTAGAAGGAAAGATCATTCCCAGTGGCCTTTTAGACATACAACCCACTGGTAAAGGTTAAATGTAACATTTGAGGCAGTCTACTTTTGGAAATTCTTTTTTTTTTTTTCTTTTAACTTTTGGAAATTCTGATAAAAAGATATCAACCATTTAAGAGAGTGTAGGATATGAATTTTTGAATATAAATTTCATTGGCCTTATAGATCAAATAATGAATGATATGAGAAGTTAAGAGTCAGCTATCTAGAATTATACAGTTTACCTTATCTGTGTTTTCATAAGCAGTATGTGGGAATAGAGAAGATAAAATAGCTTTCTTTGGCATAGATTTTTTTCATGCCTTATTTATTTATTTATTTTACTGTTTGTAAAGGCCTTTTTGTTTTGTTTTGCTTACCTCACATTATGTTATAATATTCTCAGACAATATAATTTGGTGTTACACGATGATAACAAGCATTATCTTATGTGTAACTTTTAATTAAATCTATATTCTTCAGGTAAAAAGAACATATTCTCACGGTACTTACAGAGCTGGCCCAATGCGACAGATCAGCCTGGTGGGAGCAGTTGATGAAGAAGTGGGAGATTACTTCCCTGAGTTCCTTGACATGTTGGAAGATTCACCATTTTTAAAAGTAAGAGAAAACCATATCAAGCAGTCTGAATTGTGGGTGTCACAAATCATAATTGTTTCAGAAATATAATTCCTGTGTATGTGTGTGTGTGTGCATGTGACTCCGTTATTAATTATGGCAGAGCTAACTGGTAAACTAAAAAATAATGCTTGTTGCTGCCACTTTAGGAAATTAGGTTCCATCTGTTTATTAACTTTTTATAAATTGAGTACCAGAGGATTTAAGATGTATAGGAAGGATGCCTGCTAAATTAAATATTTAGGACAAAGGAATGCCTGCTTGGCATTGTGGAAAACTGGCTTGGGAAATTGTACGTCTGTATTTCAATCTTAGCTCTACCTAGCTGGAATGGGTAAGCCTAATTTAAACTTTCTGGACTTCAGTTTCCTCATCCAGAAAATACTGCATTTAGATTTAGGTGGTTTTAAAGCCTCTTTAAATTCTTTAAATGATTTCTAGTCAGATTCTTTATATTTTTTCAGTACTTTCTGCATTCTGTTTCTTATTGTGGGCTGCTGGGGCTAGCCCACTGAGAAATTTCTGAGCTATGTAGTTATTTAATTAGTAATTCAGAGGTCAGAATGTGACAATTCATTTGTATCTATTATTTGCCAAATAATCTATTACACATCTATTTTCACTTCTTGTTCCATTTTCTAGCTTTTTATCCTCTCTTTTTCACTCCAATCCATTTCTCTTTCATTTCCTTTTTTATTCCTTTTAAACCTAATTTGTTACTTATCTACTTTTCCCAGCTAGTGTCATCATGAAATTTGATTCCATTTATTTTGAGTAGTATTTTTTTTTTAAAGAGTTATTTTTTTTTTTTTTATTTACGATAGTCACAGAGAGAGAGAGAGAGAGAGAGAGAGAGAGGCAGAGACACAGGCAGAGGGAGAAGCAGGCTCCATGCACCGGGAGCCCGATGTGGGATTCGATCCTGGGTCTCCAGGATCGCGCCCTGGGCCAAAGGCAGGCGCCAAACCGCTGCGCCACCCAGGGATCCCCATTTCGAGTAGTATTTTTAAGGGCAGTGTGGGTGGCTCAGTGGTTTAGCACTGCCTTCAGCCTAGGGCGTGATCCTGGAGACCCGGGATCGAGTCCTACATCGGGCTCCCTGCATGGAGCCTGCTTCTCCCTCTGCGTGTGTCTCTGCCTCTCTGTCTCTCTCTTTCTCTTTTATAAATAATAATAAAAAAAATCTTAAAAAAATTTTAAATATTTATGTTTGTTTTTAATTTTAAAAGCAAATAAGCCAAATGCATTCTTTTAGGAGAAATTTCATGTGACTGTCCTACCCTTTCTTAAAAGGGGATGCAATGAATGGTTTGTTTATTTATTTATTTATTTATTTATTTATTTATTTATTTATTTATTTATTTTTAAGATTTTATTTATTTATTCATGATAGACATAGAGAGAGGCAGAGACACATCATGCCCTGAGCCAAAGGCAGATGCTCAACTGCTGAGCCACCTAGGCATCCCTGGATGGTTTTTTTAAATCTCATTCTCTACCATCCCATGGACAATGGCCTTTATACATTTTTATCTCTCTTTTCTTTTCAAAGGAAAAGTTGCTTTTAGACCAGCAACCTCTTTAAGAGAGGTTAAAGAAATAAATTTTGATTTTGATTTGGTTTTCCTTTTTGTTTTGTTAGGCTTTCATTATAACTAATCAAAGACTGGTATCCTTTTCTCTCTTTTTTTTTTTTTTTTTGAGATTGCTTTTTTTTTTTTTAGTTTTTAATTATTTATTCATGAGAGACAGAGAGAGAGAGAGAGAGAGGCAGAGACACAGGCAGAGGGAGAGGTAGGCTCCATGCAGGGAGCCCGACGTGGGACTCGATCCCGGGTCTTCAGGATCAGGCCCTGGCCTGAAGGCGATGCTAAACCGCTGAGCCACCCAGACTGCCCAGAGATTGCTTTTTTAAAAAAACTCAATTATTCATCTTTATAGATTCTCATGGAGAACACTTGATTATTTTACCAACTTACTAACATCATATGACCCTTGTATTTGGTAGAAGGAAGAATAACAAATGTTGAATATAGTGAATCATACTTCTGGCAGGGTTAGAGGAGGGAGCTACCCAAGAATAATTACTCTTGGTATGTTTGAAATAGAATTTTTGAAGGAAAATGTATGACAACATAGGAATATATTCAATATAGTATGTATTTCAAATGTGTAAGTATAAAGGTATATATGAAACTTTGTCAAGGGGCAGTATTCTTTAATGTATATTTGAAGATGCATTTTGAAAGTAATTGGTTCCTATGTAATTCTTTGCCTCTAGTGTACACTGCCATGGGGGACACTATCTAGTCTAAAATTAGAGAGTCGAAAAGACAGTGATGATGGTCCCATTATGTGGGTACGCCCAGGAGAACAAATGATCCCTGTGGCTGATATGCCAAAGTCACCTTTCAAAAGGAAAAGGTATGTTGAATACAAATTTTTATTGCCAGGGATAGATGTTTTTGTATGTTGGGGGAGGGGGGTGTTCGTTGAAAATTAGAGAAAGAAGGAAGGGAAAGTTTAAAGCATACTTGGAATATGAATTCAAAAATGGCTACATGTGCTAATAAATTTTTTTTATAAAATATGAAATATAAATAAGGCTTAAGAAATGTAGGCAAATGACAGTAAATTGTAATTAGGAATGGAAAAATGTCATTCACAACAAAGACATTGTAAACCATTTGAGAATAAATTTAATTAAAAATACTCAGAACACATATAAAGAAACTTAAACATCTTCTGGAGGATTTAAAATAATACTTAAACAAATGAAAAACCCTTCTATTTTCCAGATTGAATAAAAATGATAGTCCTTTGAAATTTTTAGCATTTTAGTTGAACTCACACTTCCAGCACTGGATTTAATGATTTTAAAGTTCAGAAGGAAGAATAAATCAACAAATAGCCAAGAAAACTGTGAATGAGAAGATCTATGGGGGGGGGGCTTTTGTTATTAGAAGTTAAAAATTATTATAAAGCTTAAAAAGATCTTTGGAATAAGATAAAGAACCCAGATAGATCAAAGTGTATTGAGAACTTAATATATGAGATAGATGAGAAAAGAAAGATTTGTTTAATGAGTAATGCTGGCATAATTGAAGTCCATTTAAAAGAAAACAAAGCCATAGCCCCCATCTCATAAAGAAGTTAGAGATGTGAACATAATAGATAAAAAATTAAAATATAAGAATAAAATTTTTAAACCTAGGAGAGACCTTTCTAAGCAAGATGAAAAATATAATTGCAGTACTATTTGTGAGAGAAAAGATACCAGCAACAACAAAGTTCAAAACTATCATGGACTGAACTTGTAAAGTGACAGTTAATAGACAAAGAGCATTCCCTGATTGACAAGGAAAATATAACACAACCCAGTAGAAAAATTGGTCTCAGCCAGTTATATTAAAAGAATAATGAAATATTACTTTTACCTATTACATTACCAAAACAAATAGAGCAATAATACTGCAGGCTGGTAGGTATGTGAGAAAACAGAATATTTATATATTGTTGGTAGAAAGGTGAGCTGCTGTAATTGTTCTGTGAAAGTAATTTAACAATAGCTCATGCAGTTTAACATATATATTCTTTGATCCACCACTACCACTTTTGGGAATCTGTCTTAGGAAATGAAAGCACTAAAGGTAAATGTATAAGAATATTAATTGCAGCATTATTTGTAGTAAGAAAAAGAATTTAAAATGGTCTGAGTTCCCATTAATAGTGGAATGGTTGAATTCATTTCGGAACATTGCTATTAAAAATACGGTGAAATAAAATCTTTAAAAAAATCATTAAAAAAATGTTTAAACAAAACCCAATTTCCATTCCTTTGGGGCTCCTGGCTGGCTCAGTTGGTAGACCATGTGACTTTTGATCTTGGGATTGTGAGTTCGAGCCCCATGTTTGATGTAGAGATTAAATTACTTTAAAAAATATATAATCTTAAAAATATATATATAAATGAATTATTTATGTCTGTATATATGGAAGGATGTTCATGACATTTGAAAAGAGCAAAATATAGAGTAATGTGGCCAGTATGATTCTGTTTGTATGAAAGAAATAAACATAGAGAAGTATGGAAAAATGTATACTGGGTTAACATTGGTGGGAATGGAGTGGGTAAGATACCTTTTTTTAGATCCATAATTACTAATTACAGTGATTATTAATTTTAAAAGAAAAAACAGGGAAAATGGTCATTGAGTAAACTGTAGGTTGCACGATGACAGGGGACTATATTATGCTGGTAACTTATGTGTCTATAAGCACCTAAACAGAGTTCCTGGTGCTTAAATATCTGTTGAATGACATTTTTACAAGTTAATTTATAAGTTGGTAGTAAATGATAAAATTGGTGTTTCTCAATAGTTCTTGGATTTATAAATCATCTTGAGAATCTGAAAGTCTCTCCCCAGAACAAATGCAAATATACACGTTTTAACATGTAATTTAAAGGAGTTCACCAGCCCTCTGAGGAACCTGCCTGCACCTCAGGGATTATTACTCATGTAAATGTGATGATTTCACATCACACTGTTTAGCCTGACCTACTAATAACAACACTGCCCAAGGCACTACTGTGCTAAATGCTTCATATAAAGTCTTAATTTGTTAGAATGCGGTGTTAATCATACCAGAGTTGTAGGCTTTCAAGCCTGTTAGCTTTCCATAGGAATAAATGTCCTCATCTAGCTTTCAGACACATGTAGAACATTAATCACAAAGAGCAAAAAAAAGCATGTTTTTTTTTTTTTTGTCACATCACCTGTGTGTGTGTATGTATGTGTAATAAGACTGTAATACAAGAGTTCACAAGAGCAATAAGTTGTAGAGATTGAGCATGGGAAATTAGAGAATAGGAAAGAATGATTCTAGGGGTTTAGACTAAGATGAGAGGAGAAAATTACGGGGGCAATCTCGAGTTGTCTCTGAATGCCATAGAAAAACCATACAGGAAAATAAGATGATGACTCCCAAAGAAATTCTTCTCACCCTTTTCCCCATCTGTAGCAAAAGTAGAGTTTTTGCATTGAATGAGTCTAGATGAGCCGTAGGGGGATGGCCAATGGCAGGTGGTTGTCTTCTAAGAGGGAGCTAAGATTTTCTTTCTGCCTCTAAAAAATCCTGCATGTTTTGTGGAAGTACTTATTACTTGGTGTTTTCATGCTATTTATCTGTTAGTCTTTCTCTCACTGGAGTATAAACTCCCATGAAAGTGGGAAACCTGTTATATTCATTACTGTTTTGTTCATTAGCTGCAGTGCCTAGGTAGGACCTGGTATATAGTAGGTATTCTATAAATATTAATTAATCCATTTTTAAAGTTACCTGTTTGTTCCATATATGCATCTTACATTAGCCATGTGACTTGGGTGGAGAGGTAGGGGAATGGTTCTACAGATAAGGCCCAAACAAACCTTGTAAAGATTCTGGGCAGGAGAACTTGGGTAAACCACACCATCTGTCATTTCGTTGTTTATCTACCTTACAACTGCCACTTTTGTGAAGAGTGTGTTAGAAAAAGGAGTATGTGTTTTTGTTTGTACATGTTCATTTTAAAAATAGAACCTGATTTGGAAGCAGATGATTTAAAATTTCCTTTTGTCTGAATTATGTGATTACTAAATGCTTCATGGTAGTTAAGCCTCTCAGTACATCAATACAAATGTTTGAAGGCGATTAAACCTTAATACACAGGACTGCCTCTCTCCCCCCACCTCCATTATATATATATATAAAATGATATATATTTTATATATATATAAAATTAATATATAATATTGTATAAATGTAATTTTATTTTAACAGAACTACCAATGAAATAAAAAACCTGCAGTACCTACCTCGAACCAGTGAGCCCCGTGAGATGCTCTTTGAAGACAGGACAAGAGCCCATGCAGATCATATAGGACAAGGTTTTGAAAGACAGACTACAGCTGCTGTTGGAGTGTTGAAGGCTGTGCACTGTGGAGAGTGGTATATATTAACTAAGTGCCTTTTTTTTTTTTTTAAACTGCTATTTTTATGAAAGGTTTTCTTGGGTGGTTTCTCCGTAATTCTCCTTACTGTAGGGAAAGAAAGTTTCAGTTTTCTTTGTATTTGGATATCCTTTTTTTTTGTTTGTTTTTAAAGATTTTATTCATTTATTCATGAGAGACAGAGAGAGAGGTAGAGACACAGGCAGAGGGAGAAGCAGGCTCTGCAGGGAGCCCGATGTGGGACTCCATCCTGGGACTCCAGGATCACGCCCTGAGCCAAAGGCTCAACCGCTGAGCCACCCAGGTGTCCCTGTATTTGGATATCCTAATCGTATAAATGCACTAAAGGTTTTCAGTTGTTAGAATGTAGTTTTACTCTTTTGAGTTTGACAGTAATAATTTCATTTTCTAAGTGACTAGATGTGAAAACAATTGTCTTCACTAAGGTTAAAGAAAAACTAAGGTTCACTTGGTGCTTACTGTATTGTCATTGTCCCTGATGAGAAGCTGGCATCATTATTAACTCTTCCTTCCCTGTGCATTAATGTAAAGTATAAGGTTTAGATTTTATCACTGGTTTTTAGAAATTTGTTTATAATTTGCCTTAGTATGACTTTTTTGTTGGATTTATGTTGCTTGGAATTACATTCTAAAATCCATTTTCGAGCATGTTCTATAAAAATGTATTTGTATATTGCTGATTAATTGGATAATTTGGGCATTTTTTTAGAATTATATTTAAAGACACTATTAACCCCCACAAATAGAGTGATAATAGTTTATTAGCGCTTTTCTAATGAGTATCTCTTAATTTATTAAGGATTACTTAGGAATTTTAGGTTTAATTGCAGTTATATATATATTTATTGGAAGAAAGTATTCTCTTCTCCTCATATTACCTCCAATTTTTACATAGTAGCTTCATCTTTAGCATTTAATCTGTTATTGACCTTGAAGACAGAGCCCTTAGTTTTTTTTATTTCAATAATTAACCAGTTCAAATATGGTTATACATAGCTATAATAAAATGAGGTTGTTTTAATTTATGTTTAGGCCCAAACTCATGTTTTTATCCCTTTAAGTATGTAAAGTGGTCTTCTAATAACGTTTTAACTTTATTTCTAGGGACTCTTGTTTTGACCATAAACTATTTTTGCTTTAAATTTAATAAGGACTTAACAGTGAAATATTAATGGAAGATTCTTCATTATCTCATGTTTTTAGGCCTGCTCAACCCCGAATAACCAAAGATGTAATTTGTTTTCATGCTGAAGATTTCTTAGAAGTAGTTCAACGAATGCAGTTAGATTTACATGAGCCTCCACTTTCTCAGGTATATCTTAATGCATTACTGTCTTCAGTTTATTTTTTATTGTGGAAAAGACTTAACAGTATTCCTGTTTCTTTTTTTAGTGTGTCCAGTGGGTTGATGATGCAAAACTTAATCAACTGAGGAGGGAAGGCATCCGCTATGCCAGGATTCAGCTGTATGATAATGACATTTATTTTATTCCAAGGAATGTTGTTCATCAGTTCAAGACAGTTTCAGCTGTATGCAGTTTAGCCTGGCACGTTCGGCTCAAGTTGTATCACTCAGAGGAGGAGATTGCTCAGAATACAGATACTCATGAAACAGGCACATCACCAGATTCCACATCATCAATTCTTGATTCTCACACTGACCACATGATTTGTGCTGTAAGCAAAACCCCCTTGGATTCTAATTTTTCAGACAAACTTCATTCTAAATCTGAATTACAGCAGATTAAACATGAACCTATTGCATCCGTAAGAATCAAGGAAGAACCTGTGAATGTTTATATTCCTGAAAAGACTAGAGCACCGAATAATATGGATGGCAAGAATGCTAAAGCAAAATTGGATCATGTTCAATTTACAGAATTTAAGATTGACATGGACTCTAAATTTGAAAATAGCAACAAAGATTTAAAGGAAGAATTATGCCCTGGAAGTCTCATAAGTCTAGTCGATACAAGGCAACATAGTTCAGCACATTCAAATCAAGATAGAAAAGATGATGACATTTTGTGCTAAATTTGTACATACCATTTAAAATTCTTTTTTTTAAAAAAAGTTAATAATGTAATAAAGATTCATGAATTCTGAAAGCAAGCCAAGGACTTGCTCCCAAGTCTGTTACAAAATAGAGTTTATGTAGCTTTGTAACATTCCTCAGTGCCTGTCCATAACTGTGAAGTATCAAAGCACTTAGGGCCAGATGCACTGTAAACATTACAGGTTTAAACAAAAGGAGTCTTTAAAGAATCATTTGGTTTGGAATTATAGGTTTTAGAATAGAGCTGACATTAACATATATATATATTTTTTGTAATATGAGCCAGAATTCTTTTTTTGACAATTTAAGGCTTTTCCATAGAGCTTATTTATACCAATTTTTTTTCATTTTAATGTGTCAGCACTGTAGTGTAAATAGCTTTTAAAAAAATCTTTTTAGTGTGATTTATACTGAAATGTGAGCCACTTAATAAAGGTTCATAATAATAAATATGTTTTCTGTTGGGTCTGCAAAAACACAAACTGACAATTCAGTTAAATCATTTATTTGGTCTATTATGTTTCTGCTAGTATATCAATTTACAGTGGTAATGGAGTGCAAATGTATGTATTCAAATCTAGCGAAATATTTAAATTCCCCACATTGTGTAAGCATTTTTAAAACCAAGATTCAGTTATGAAAGCATATTTATATATGTGTGTATTATGGGAATATATAGAGATATGTATATCATATTTTGCATAACTTCTTTCTTAAATTGCTGAATAATATGAATATGTGAAACTTCCTAGCCTCACTCCCTGGAATACATTTTAAAATATTTATGTTCAACATTCAGAAAGCAGTTTAGGTAATAGAAGCAGTTTTATGAAGTTGGGGGAAACAAGGTCAGTTATTGGTATTTAACACTCTTAACTCATGAAGTAACATGGCCAGATTACATTGCCCTAACGTAAATCTTCTCCATAGTGTTTGGAATGATAAAAAAAAGTTGAGAAAATTTTCTTACTAATAGGCACTGTACTATATTTAATAGTAGCTGGGTTAAAATCTTTAGTTAAAGAATGTTTCATTGTGAACAGTTAAAATCCTCTTACATTTTTCTAAGAGAACAGGAGAAAGTATGATAAACCTAAGGGCCATGACTCAACTGCCATAGATATAATTAACAAAATAAGATGTGTTACCTCAGTTTTCTAAGGATCCTTCTCCCTACCCTAGCAAGGTAAACAACTTAGAATACTGTTTTGTTTTGTTTTCCCAAAACTCTAGAAAGTAAAATTAGGGTAGGAAACAGGATTGCTAGTGCCTAGCTAAAACAAATCTCTTCAGTGATGGACTTCAGCACTATTTGAGACTGCTTCCACTACTGTAATTAAACAAACAAATGTCTTTATGCTTTGATATAAGGAACTCTGCTCATTGCAAATTTATTTTATCTTTGGTATTTTTCTGGGCTTATACTTTGGTTGACGACTTTTAACTGAGGTTCTTTGTGTAGTCTTTTGGGTTACTGTTGCTCCTGAAATTGTTTCTGCTCCAGCCTTGTTTGTGGTACCCCTAAAACTGCTTATCTTTCTGGGCTAGGGAGAAGCCACTTAAGAGGCATTTCACCAGAAAAAAATCAATTGCAGCAGTGACATCATTTCTGGCCCACATTTTAAATGGGCTTGGCAAATATTGTAGGAAATTTCAATGGTTTATAGGAAATCAGTATATTTGCAATATAGGAATTTTCATGGGATAAGGAAAGTATAAATCATGATAATGTAAATAGGGATTCTGTTTTATAAGTTAGTTTTAGCCTGCTCCTCATCACTTTAATCTTCTCTTTTAAGCTAAATTTATCATTTGCCATCTACCTTTTGGGGATAAAAAAGTTCATAACAAACTAGTATTGAGAAATAGGAGAGCATGTGGTTAAAATGTTTTCTTTTTTTAATTAAAGGGTGATATATTTAACAATGTTTTAGTTTTAGTTTCCTAGTAGTATACACATAGTTGCATGAGATCATACAGTAATAAAATGTCTTTAGGGTATCCCCAAAATATTATATATGAGCCTTAAACTTTTAACTAAAAGATATATCTAAAACAACCACAGTGGTTGCTTTTAGGTGTAGTTTCTTATATAACCAATACTCAAAATTTCTCCATATTTCGAAAATTTAATGTTTTGTAAAATGCATACATCTCTGTGATGTATATATGATGTATGAAGTGAAATATAAATCAGTGGGCTCAGATTTCAAGATATAGCTTTGTCACCTTGAATAATGTTATATTCCTTGTCTTAGTGGGTTATAATTTTTAAATCCTCTTCGGATGCAATCTAAGAACTTGCTGACTTGCCTTTGTTAAACACAAATCATTTCTATTTCAATATTGCATTATTATTAACGGTTTCCTAGCAAGTACATTCCAAACACAAGTTTTTTGTTGATATTCCAATTTCTTGGACCAGAATGATAAAGTGCTTAAGATGTAGTTTCTATATGATCTTAAGCTATCTAAATAGTTATCATATAAAGTATTAAATTGATACACAGACCTTAAAAAAAAATAAGGTACATCAGTGGTGTCTGCTGCAGTGTTTTTTTTTTTTTTTTTTAATTACTTTGCTTTATACCCTTTTAGCCAAGAAGTAGAACCTTTTCCATTCTCAGGTTAGTTGGTTAGCTAGCAAAAGAATTAAGCATTTGTGATATTTAGTTGAAAACTTTACTAAAGCCATATTCATTACCCTTAACCCTCAGGCTGCTGACCTTAAATAAAGATTAGGTTGATCTGGCACAGAACTGTGTGTGTGCACGTGTGCATGTGTGTGTAAGATTATTGGAAATATTTATGTTTATACCCACATATATTCATTTTCAGTCCATTCTATAACTTTGGGGAAGGGAGGGGTCAGAGACGTTAGGACAAATTTTATTTCTTGTGTTATGTCTTCAAGGTATTTCATTAGTGTTCCTGTGCTTGAAATGGTTTTTTCCCCAAATAACTTACGGCAGGTGAGATCATTTTTGTAAATAATAGATTAGCAGTGTTTTGTTGGTAAATTTTCATTCAGTTATTTTGTTGACAAGTTGATTGTCATGTAAAGCAAATACCTAAAAATTCGTTTTACATTTAGCAAAGATGCAAGATTGATTTTAGAGTTTGAGAGGAATTTTCCTTGTCTTCCACCTTTTTAATAAATACTAAAATTGATAACTGTAATCTTTTTACCTTTGTTTTGTAATTATTTTCTTGTATTTGACATTTTCATTTCATCATCTTTAAAAGTTCTTGTTTCTGTCTTCAGCTGAAGCCATAAGATCTTGAAAGTGACTCCAATCTGAATACCTTTTTTTTCTCTTAAAAATTATCAAAAGTTGATTCATGCCAACCTAGAATATTGAGGATTACCTTAAGCCAGGTTATTAAACTAGTTATTTAGTTCAGTGTAGGTGCTGGGATAGCATGCTAAATCACTTCCCTTCCCTCTAGACAGGACTATTTCTATCCTAGGAGGTGTGGACAAAAATGCATTGTTTTCAAAGTACTTTTAAGCTGGTAAAAAGTGACAGGATGGGTTTTAGGTCTTCAGACTGATAGAAGATCTGATTATTAATCTTTCTTCCACCTCATGTAACTGTTTTGATATGTAAACAGAATTTTACTGGTTTTAGAATGCCTAGTCTATTTCATGAAAGACTTAGTTATGTTTGACATGTTTGGCACTGACAGTGTACTTCAGATAAAACAATTACAAGGACAACTTGGGAGAAGTATAAATTTCTATCTCTTGGCTCTGGCTTTTCTTTCTTTAGCATATCTCAGATGGAAATCATTGCTCTTTAGAATGTCAAGCACAAGAGGATAAAAGCAGAGATGCTTTTTTCTTTAAGTTTACAGATGTTGCAGGACATATCTTGACATATCTCTACCGGGAGGTCAGAGAAAGGAGGGGAAAACATCGTGGATTTCAGGTTATCTTCCCTTCTAGGACTTCAGACCCAATCAGGGAGTGTGAATGAGCTGGGAATAGAATGTGGGCAAATAGAATTTATGTTGATTAGAAATTTAAAGTGAAATTATGACATACTACTTGTATGTCTTATTATCTGCCTTCCAAGAACTGCGCTATTAAAATAATGAGAACTCTGGATTCTTCTACACATTTTGAAATTTAGAATTTATGCATCTATATTTTTAAAATGTTAAATCTGTACACTTGCCTATAAAGTTTATTGCTTTGGTACTACTAAAGACTACAAAGTATACAGATTCAGAGACAAGTCAGTAGAGTTGCAAATATTTTGCATAATGTTTAACATTTTATTTGGATAGGCAATTCCACATCCTCCTCTACCCAAGTTTTTTCTTTCTTTAAAATTTTGTTTTTGTTTTTAATTTAGCCAGACATTTATGTGACAAATCTTGGGTCTGTCTTCTTTAAAAAAAAAAAAAAAAAAACCAAAAAAGCGTTTCTTCAGCCTGGCTTTGTTTATGCTATTGTTTCATCTCTCTTTTTGATGACAAGGTTCTTGGAAATCTGTCTGCCTTCACTTCCTCATTTTACTACAATTTTGTCTTAATCTTCAAATTTAATCACCCAGCTGAAGTGGTAGTCTCAAAGGTCACCGTATGACTGCCAAATTCAGTGGCTTCATTCCTTAATACTTCTGTTTAATCCTTTCAGCACTTGTTAGCAGTTTTGTACTCCTTAAAACTCTGTGTATATATAACCTATCTGTTTTGCTTTTCCATTTCTTTTTTTATTATTATTATTATTATTATTATTATTTTGCTTTTCCATTTCTTTGGATGTCTTCTTCAGCCGTAGCCACCACTATTTAAAGCAGTCTCAGGTTCCGTCTCTACACTTTTTCCCTGAATTATCTTCGTGACCCCATGACTTGTCAGAGTTGGTTTCTCACTTCAGCTCTAATGATCTCTATAATCAGAACTAAATCCTTCTCTTCTCCCTTGCCCCCAAGCATTAGCTGTTCCTTTCCCTCCTAATTTGGTTATTGGCATCACTATGTCTCTACCTAGTCATTGCACAGTTACCTGGTTTCTCTATCTTTTCTTCTAACTATATGTAATGTATTGTGAGATTTTCTTGAGTTGACCCCAGAAATGTTCATAATTTGTCTACTTTTCTTGTTGTAGTAGATGTTCACAACCATATTAGATGTTCATCTCACCAGGACTCTTAAAATATCCTAAAATGTTCTGGGCTGCCTGTACTCCTCTGCCCCATGCCTGTTCCAGTCCATTCTTTGTTACTACCAGATTGATCTTCCTAAGACAGATATGATTGTTACTCTGTTGCTTAGAAATATTCTATGACTGTTTTCCTAAAGAATAGAAGCCAAACGCTCAGCATTACACCAAAAAGCCTTCATGATATGGCTTTTCCAGCTTCATCCATCACAATCTTCCATTAATGTGCCCAATTTCCAGCTTTACCGAGTGCCAGTACTTGCCATTTCTTTTGTGTACTTTAAAAAGTCTTTACCTTTGCTGGGGAAATCCCTGCTTGGAATACAACACTGTGAAATCTTCTTTTTCCAAAACTTTAAACATCTCTTCTATGTTTTACTGAGTTTATGCATTCCAACTGTCCCCTTTACCCCAAAGCTGGTGTAGAACAATTTCTTCCATCTGCTTCTTGTGTCCTTCTGTTCACATCATTAATATAACTATTAGTTAAGTATATGTTGGGCTCTAGCTAAACCATGAGCTGTAAGTTCCAATTTTATTTTTATCCCTTTGTGTCCTCAATGCCTAATATATACACCTGGTATTCAATAAATATTTGAAGGAACAAAAGTTGCACCTTTACTGGGGGTAGGAAAAGCTAATTATGTAGGTTTCTATGATTTAAAAACTCTGCCTCTGACTTTAAATCATAATGTAATTCTAGAATTGCAATAGAAAAGTGGAGAAAATTAGATCAGCAGGCACCATAAGGAGACTAAGTTTCTATTTGGTACTTCAGTCTTATGAATAAGGTTTAAGAAGTACCCCTGTTAAATATCTAGGCCCATTGGGCAATGTGGATAAAATAAGTATTGTAAAGATTGCTAAACCTGTAAAACCCAACTTTTTTTCTCCAACGAAAGATACACTTATAAATTGAGAATAAATTTAAACTAGACTTAAAATTATTAAAATGGCAAATCTAAGAAGCAGGTTTAGTATCTTATAGTTGGAAGCATGTTTTTAATATACTAAGTCTTATTTGGCAAGATGAAGTCTCCTTACTGATATAAATATTCAAAAATTGGAAATATTGAATGTGATAACATGCACCAATATTTTTAGTCTATATATGTTCTGTTGCAGGAGTGAGACAAGGACATAAAAGTGGCACATTTTCACAGACCTCCTTTTGTAAAGCCTCTGATATGATGCTATGCTGAGAACATTTGAGTAGTACAGCTATGGGTAATGAAAGGGAACTAATAAACTTGGAAATGTTGAGAAATCAGTTTTTCCCATTGGTAAAAAGGTGGGGAGTGGGCGCAGGGAATACCAACAATTCTGTTAATTGGTGGTGAGAATTAAATCAGAGAACATGCCAAGTGCTTGCTTAGTGGATTGGTTTATATATTGTAGACACTACAAATGTTAGCTTCTGATCCTAGAATTAACACAGAAGAGCTATGTTCTGGGTCAGCCTAATCATTTCACACCTTTCTCACTAATTATCTCTTCTCTGCATTCCTCCCTCTAGTTTTGGGCAGAGGATAGGCATCTGGGAAGAGGAAAATGTTTATCAAGGGATCATGAGATTTGGTCGAAGTAGGTAGATTTCAAAAACTTACTTCTTCCCAGTTCACTATTTTGCCCAGGGCCAGCAATTCAAAATCATGTCTTGTTACAGACTGCCTTTTTCTGATTACAAATTAGTATTTGTAGTATATAGACGATGGCAGTAAATTTACTTCATGGTATAAGATACCAGTATGATTACAGTATGATAACTTGAACACAGGACATGCAAAATGAGAGTAAAACATTAAAATGTAAAGTAGATCCCTCTCATAAAAGCTTTTAACCCAAGGTTACCTTATCTGGCATTTGATAACTGGTATGTATCTTCCATGGATGCCATTTTTTTTTCTTCTGTAGCAAACCCAATTTTGGAGATAGCTTTTGGAGTTAAAACTTCTCCATTTTTCAGGGATCATGGGCTGATCTCATTTCATTTATCTGGGCTTTAGTTTTTCCATCATTATAATGAGGCTTTTTCCCCGTTTGTTTTATCCTGGTTCTAACATTATAATTCCTATGTACTTTCACTAGGTCATTAATTATAAGAACACCAACAATACTTTGAGGACAACTGATGTTTACTGTGGAAACATGACCAATTAAGATTAAAGGAAACTCCTTTTGTAGTTTGTGGCTTGTTTCTTAATGTAATGCTAAAAGGACTCTGATTAATTTTCTCTCAGTAAAGAGAAATAACTATTTTTGATGACACAGATGCATAATAATTAATATGCTTGCCCCTATATGAAAATGCCTCTATGGTTTCCTCTTTTTTGGCCATCACTTCTGTTCATTAGTCAACATCAGTTTCTCTTACTTGCTGCATTGTAAAAACAGAGTGGAAAGCAGACGATTTAATTTTTAAGATTAATAACTTAAAATTACAGTAAACTCTAGCCCACAAATGGAAGCGGTGTGCAACTATTTTTCTTGGTGCTTGGAAGCTCTCTTGCTGGATTTGTGTTCATGTTTCATGTGGTGGATTGATGGCACCAACATACTTACTCAGCCTCTGTGTTCATGAAATACTGCTGAACAAGTTGTGAATTCTTTCAATATTTTCTACTTTTCATATTTTCAAGTCATAAAAAGTTATTTTGTCCACAAGTTGCTTTTACCCAGACTTTCTGATAAATCTTTTGCTCCACACCAGATTACATTACTTCTTACCCATGTTGACCTGGAAAATACTGGTTTCACAAGGAACCTTTCATGTTTAAGTTAAATCTTTGTATTATAAACGAAATATCCTAGAACTAAAACAGGAAGGTTTTTTTCTGCAATACTGTTTATATATTATTCCATTAGTTTTGCTTTTTCTGTGAGCATAATTTCTATCCTATTTTTAATTAACTTAATGTTTTAAGTGTATTCCAACCACTGAAGCTGTGATATTTCGATTTATAAGAAATACATATCTGGTCTTCATCCCTATTCCCGGCACAGGAATTTAACACCCTTAGAATTTTCTAAGTGTTTAGCATGAAAAAGGTGTCGTTTGAGCTTATGTTAATGAGGTGACTTGGAAAACTCCTAGGTAACTTAAGGATGGGGGCTGGTTGCCAGGGAGAAACAACATTGTGGTTAAAGGGTTAGAACTCCTCCTTCCGTATCTCCAGGGGAGAGGAACTGGAGATTCAGTCCCCAATAGCCAATGATTTCGTTAATATTCGATGTAATCAAGCCTCCATAAAATCCTAAAAGGACAGGGTTCAGAGAGCTTCTGGGGTGGTGAACACAAGGAGATGGAGGAAGAGTGGATTGCCAGGAGACCATGGAAGCTCCTTGCCCCTTTCCCATACCTTGCCTTACCAATTCTTCCATCTTGCTGTTCCTGAGTTATATTCTTTTATAATAAACTGGTGATGTAATAAGTAAAATGTTTCTTTGAGTTCTGTGAGCTGCTCTGGGAGCTCAAGGGAGTCATGAGAATTAATAATTAATTCAAGGGAGTCATGAGAATCTATAGCTGGATTTTAACTGGTATCTGAAGTTTGGAGGGAGGAGGTATCTTCTGGGATTGCACCCTTAACCTGTGGTATCAGATACTATGTCCAAGTAGTGTCAGAACTGAATGAATTCCTTGGTGGTATGGGGATAAAACGCACATTTGATTTGGTGCCAGAATCAAGGAGGCACATGTCAGTAGCTTGCGCTGCTTTAAGGTATTTATTTAGTCTATTTAGTTTATTTAGTTTATTTACCAAACTAGGTAAGAAAATGTTCTGCTTTCTGGGAACCTTTCAGATACTATTAAAATTAACTGACCCTCATGGATCAACAGGTTGGTTATTGTGTTGCCTTTTAGATACAATTCTTACCCAGGTTTCTCTCTTAATTGAAGACCTGTTCCACCTTTTCTCTTAGAAATCTCATATAGAATTTCTGCTTTTGCTTGTTTTATGGCCTAGCTCACAGGTCTGTTTTTTGTGTGGCTGTGAGGCAAGAATAGTTTTTATAGTTTTAAGCAACTGGAACAAAAGCCAAAAGAATACTACTCTGTGATATGTGGAAGTTTTACAAAATTTAAGTTTCATTGTCCATAAAATTTTATTGGAACATAATCATGGTTTATGGCTGCTTTCTCATCACAGAGCTGACTTGAGCTGTTGAGATAGAAAGTTAAAATATTTATTATATAGACATTTATGGAAAATTTCTACTGACTCCTGACCCAGCTAATTGCATGTGATGCTGTCCTTTTCCTTTTCCCTGTGAGAGAGCATCCTTAGATAATACTTGCACAGATACAACTTCTGCTGAATTTCAAAATCCTCCTGTCTGGTTTCTCATAGAAACGAAAGCTTTCTTCTACTTTGAATCTATCATTAGAGAGACCAAATAGTTTGGAACTCTCAGTTGAACAAGGAATATCTGATCAAGTCTGGAACATTATGTTCCCCAAATTAACTGTCCTTTTCCATCCTATTTTTAGAAGCTCAAAATAGGACTATATACCAATTATAAGACAGGAAAACGCTTGTAACTGATCATTTTTTATTTATTTAGCTTAGCTCTGTAGTTTCAAACAAGGAGTTAAAGCCATATTAATCTGATGTTGTAGCTTAAACGTTGTCATGTTATGTGCTTTACAAAGGAGAACTAGACCAAAATGCTATAGTCAAAGCAATCCTCTCAAGTATTAGCAGCTAGGAATCACTTTCTTGTGTGTTAGATATTTTTAAAACAAACAAAATACTACTTTGGGTTCTTCCCAAAGCTAAAAGTGAGGGCGGTGTAAGGGCAGGAACAATCACCTGCTTTAGGGTTATAATGCACGTAAGACTGTTTGGAATTCTTAACAAGTGATGTCACCTATGCTTCCCTGGAATGGTTTAAGTGCCTTTGGTAGGATCACCTATAAACTCTCAGACCAGGACTTCTAAGAGTGAAAGGGGCACTAACTTCCTGAGGCCCAGGACAACAGGCATAAAGGGAAACGGTCCTGATTCAACCAGGATGAAAGGCCCCTCTCTCACTTTAGAAGAGGCAAACCTCTGCTCAGTTTTAGTATGCCACCTCTAATTCATGGGTTTTAAACAGAAGGAAAAAGTGACACGCTAACTTAGATAAAAATCTGTTAAACTTTCAGATTCTTTGTGAATGTAAACATGAAGTGACACAACTAAGTATTTCACTAACTAGGTTTTTTTCATAGTAATTTACAAGCACAAATGACCATTTACTTTGGTCATAATGGGGCTATGATATATTAAACTTCTATCCAAATAATGTAGATTAAAGACTTTAAAAATTGACCACATATGTACAACAGATTATTTAAGAGTCAAGTAGAAAAATGAGGTCAAAAAACAAACTTTATTTATATAGGGATAATAAGGATATTAATAACTGAAATATTGAATAATTAAGCTTTGGATTGACTAGAAGTCCATGATTCACAAAGACTATTTTATGGAAGCAGTATAAAACTACATTTGGTTATTTTTCTCAGTTCTCTGGTATTCTTCAAGCTTGCAAAGATTCAAACACTTTAATGATAGCTTGTTGAACAGCAATAAAATGAGATGATGTCCTTAGAAGTCAGTCTCTCACAAAAAAGACGTTATATCCAAGTTCTATCAAAGCCCCAGCCAGTAAGGCCCATAAAGGAATGAAGACATAGGACAGATTCATGGTAGTAAACTGTTCCAGTTTAGCACAGAGTGCAAGGCAGAAGGCTAATTTAAGTAACATTGCAATGAGGTACCAGGCTTTTTTTTTTATATTGTGTGATCCATGTCGAGGGTCAAAGCCAGACTTACATCGCCCAGCCATTTTCACAATCAGCATGACAAGAAGGATAGTATCAAATATCCAGACTGGAATAAAAATGAGGAACCAGTTCCAAGGTGCCTTCTCATCCAGTTTCAACACCAACATGATCAAGAAGAGTAATGTGAAAAGCCAGGTGAGTAGTACTCTCTGAGCCAAGGACATTCTCATTTAAACAGTTTAAAGAAGCTGTTGCAGAGTCGAAAAAAGGGAAATATACCCTAAGAGAAGGAAAAACAGTCAGGATTGTTTCGATACCAGAAAAAAAAAAAAAAAATCACTTCCATTCCTGGTGAACAAAGCTGGCTCTTCCCCACTCACAGATTTCCTATTTTTGATAACATTCTATTATTTTTCCTTTCAAATTCCATTAAAATTTGTAGCCACCATTGACAACGTTACATTCATCATTCCCTATAGCCCATGAAAAAATGCAATAAAACTTGTAGTATATCAACTGGGCATGAGGTCTATTCAAAATGTCTCAAGAATAGTCTGGTCCTTGTCATTGCTGTCACTCAAGTCCAGGTACTCATGACTTTATTCCTGTACCTCAAGGATATTCTTATATTCTTTTTTGTACATCTGTACATCCAAAATTTCACCTAATTTCAACATGTACTAAGAAAAAGCATTCAAAATCAAAGTACTGAAAAAAGAGGAAGTGGTATTAGGTCAAGGGAGGAGAGTTTTAATAAAGAGGGAACGGTTAACAAAAATTCAGATATTAAATAGAATTATGATTCTAAGGAGATCACTGGGCTAAATAATATAGAACACATTGATAATACTGGATTTTCACATAGTTTAGCCTATACTTTTTTTTAATTAAACTTTCTCACTGAAATTCTTACAAATACCTATTTTCTTAGTCTGAATTTTTCTTTTTATAACTATTTTTTGGTTTGTGGTATAGATCCTGACTTTTTTACTACTCGCTATCCAATCATCAAGACCATTTAAACTTCTGACTTTTTGTTATTAGATGCTAAATTATTCGATAATTACAGCCCTTTCTTTTTTCTTTCTCTCTCTCTCTCTCCCTTTCTTTCTCCCTTCTCTTTCTCCTTCTCAAGTAAGTTCTATACCCAATGTGGGGCTTGAACTCAGGCATCTGAGATCAGGAGTCACATGCTCAACCAACTGAGCCAGCCTGGCAAACCGAAGCTATTTCTTATATCCCTAAAATATAAGCTCTGTCATATATCTATCTAAGATATAGATCTGTCTTATTGATCCATATTTCTGTTTTGCACTAGTACTATATGACTGTGATTAGATATGTTCTAGGATGTACTCTAATATCTGAAAGGCCTACAACCCACCTACTCATGGATTTCTTCTCCAGAATATTTTGCCCTTTCCTTTTTTTCCCCCACGCTAAAATCACTAATTCTTAAAAACTTGGGATTTTGATTGGAACGCGTTAATCTATAAAACTTTAGTATAAGTATTTATTTAGTCTTCACATACAGGATGACAGTATTGTCTATACTTGTTTAAGCTTTTTATATTAACCTTGTGACCACTTGGAAAAAGGGTAAGTAGAATGGAAATCAGAAGCCAGACTGTATGCAGCTGAGTGAGGGGTTAAAGAAGATAACATAATGTAAACAGTTGACAACATTTTATTCCTCTGAAATACCTGGAGAAGAGAAGATAAAGGACAAGACAAAGAATGAGATTGAGAAAGGGCCAATAAGAAATTTTTCAGTAAAGGAAGAATCTGAATATGATTATAAACGGAGGGAAATAAGCCACAGAAGAGTGATAGATTGAGAGGACATTTGATGAAAAGAGGAAAAGATCAGAAGGTGGTGGGACAGCAAAAGCATGAGGGGTAGGATTGCAGGAATATGAGAAACAAGGAAAAAGCAAAGAAACAGGCTAGATGAATAAAATGCCCTAGATTAGCATGTTTAATTATATTTTAAAACTAACTTTGATATATCTTTTGATACACCTCTACTACTTCCAACAGTGGGGCAAGAGCATGTATCTGTTTTACTGTAATAGTGAGGGTCCTGGGGACCTCCTAACTCCCCTTTTCCCCTTACGCCCATCTGCTAGTATTCATTTACTTAGCTGGCAGATCGGGATGCTTCATACTGCAGTATGAAAAGCGGAGGCTTTTGCTCCCAGGAAGGCATTTTCTCCAGGTCTCCTTTCCTGACCAAAGGCTGCCATGGTGGCATAGGAGGCTGAATTTGGAAGAAGAGGTATGAGGGGTGTGTACTGATTATTAACTACAAACGGATTTCATGTTGTAAATCAAGTTCACTCCATCCCGATCTCCAAACTATCTGGCCATTTTTGTGAACTTTCAAAAAGTCTATGATAATACACTTGTTTAAGCACAACTTTTCCATCAGTAACTGGATGAGTCGGGGTTTCTTTTTTTTTTTTCGCATATGGGACTGAGTAAGCAACTGGTCAGAGAAAGGGTTGCTGCACTTAATCAACACAGGTACTTCAGGGTCGCAGATGGAAGGACACGCAGGCTTGTGGCTTCAAGTTTCAAAATGCGGGATGCAACAAATTTCTGTATGAAGCACTACTACACTGACATTTAAGTGATGCCCGAAGAAGCCTGGATGCTGGGCTACAGCACCCATTTTACTCCTTTATTCACAAATCGTCATTAATTGCAGCAATTGTATTTGTTGCCTACTACTATTACTATCGCTCTTTCTCGAGGGAAGGGGGGGGGGACTGCATACTCCAACAAAACAAAAATTTGCTCTGCTTTAAAGCCCTGTTTGAGTTGATTCCTTCTGGCCTGGAAGATCGTTTAGTTCATATGCTTCCTCACTGCCAAAATCTTCTGCACCGTCTCAAACTGGAAATCAGAAGGGCTGTGCCCAGAGGGTCAGCATCTATCACCTGCGTGTGCGCTCATTACCTTGCCCACGGTGCTCGCTACACCATGTCCACTGCTCCTCTCGCTAGGGCCGGTGCTCTCCCAAATAAACGCCCCTCGTCCCAAAGGCCAGGGACAGTTCTGCTCATGAACCCGCAACCCGCCCCTCTGAACAAGGAGTCGCTTTCGGGCGGGCCCTGCTGAGACAGCCTTGGCCAAGTTCACCTTCCTTCCGAGGAGGGTGCTGCTCACACCCGATAGGGCCTTGGGGTCTGTGTCCCCCACTGCGCTCGCCCCCGCCCGGGCCCCGGGGCTGTGGGAGCTGCGCGGTTTCCTGCCCGCAGGAGCCCGGCGCCCAGCAGGTGCCGGCGGGGGCGCGGCGAGGCCCGGAGCACCGCGGGGCCGGGGCGCCGGGGGGGGGCAGCGCACTCGCGACGCAGCCGGCCCGGGGCGCCCGGACTCACCTGGCAGCGCCGCCGGCCGGAGAGCGGGGAGGGCCGCGGAGACCAGAAAGCTCGCCAGTTTGGATCCTCGGCCTTTTCCACCCTTTCTCCTCCATTAAATCCAGAGCCCGTCACATGATAACCAAGAGACAGATCTCAGTTCCGCCTCGCCGGGGCAGCGCGGCGGCGGCTCCGGGCTCCAGCTCGGGCCACGCCCACATCCGGGGCGGGGCCCCGGCGCCCTCCGGGCCCGCCCCCTCTCCCTATAGGCAGAGACGGTGCCAATCCGGGTTCAGAGGCCCTTCGCCTTGTGCTAATTGGGCCGTTTGGCCACACTGCGAACCAACCGACCTTTCCTGACGTTCGGGTTTGTCAAAAAGGCGGCTGTAAAAGGAGGCACTAGGCCCGCCCCCCTACCGCCACGGGCTAGGAGCCCCGTCAGTCTCAGCGCGGCCCGGTGGGCCCGTGGCCCCATTGGCCGCCCCCACGCCAATCAGGCCGCCGGCCCCGCCCCCGCGGGCGCCCCGCCCCTCTCGCCCGCCCCGCCCGCGCGCCGAGACTGCGGGCCCCGGCGCAAACCCCGCGGGAGAGGGGGTGGGGCGGCGGCCGTGGAGGAGCGCGCCCGCCGGCAGCCTCGTCGCGACCGCTCCGGCTCCCGCAGCGGCGGCGGCGCTCGCCTCGGAGCCTCCGGCGCGCTCCCCAGCCGCCTCCTAGCGGCGCGGCGCCCGCTCCTCCGGTAAGAGCCGGCATCGCCTCCGCGCCCGGGCGGGCCGTGGCCGGTCGCTGGCTTCTGACAGACCCCGGGGCGGCAGCGGGACGAGGGGGCAGAGCGGCGGGCGGGACGCAGGCGGGGGCTGCGGGGCTGCGGGGCCGCGGGGCCGGCGCGTCGCCCTCCGCCGCCGGCGACTCCCCGGGCGGCCGCTGGCACCTGCGCGCGGGCTCCGCCGCGGTCGCCTCCCATCCTCGGACCGCGGCAGCGGCTCAGCCTCCCGGCTCCGGGCGCGCGCCGTCCTCGAGCCTCGAGGGGGTCGGGCCGAAGCCCTCCGCGCCGCCCCCTGCTGGGCTCCCTCCCCCGGCGCGGGGCTGGGGGCGCGGCGGGCGCGGGGCTGGGGGCTGGGGGCGGGGGGCCGAGCCGCGGCGGCCGGGGGACCACGCAGGGTCTCGGCCGCGCTGTGCGACGCGCGCGGACTGCGGCGCCGGTGCCGCCAGCCTCCCGGGCCGGGACCAGCCCGCCGCCCGCCGCCCGCCGCCCGCCGCCCGCGGGACCCGCCTTGTCCCCGGCCGGCCGCTGCGGACAAGCCAGTTCTGGTGTGGCTCCCCGAGTCCCGACTTCCAAACTCAACACCTCCTTCTCTAACTTTGGAGATCATTCTGTCACTGGTCCATCACTCTATTTTTAGCCTAACCAAAAAAAAAAAAAAAAGAAAAGGGAACTGCTTTATATCATCCTATACCGACTAGGCAGTACAGACTCTGCAACATCCACTAATCCAAGTATTGGCATACCAAGCTCTGTTCAGATTCGTGAGTTATTCCATATTCTGTGATGCACACTTGCTGTCTCTGTTTATGGTATCTCCTGCTTACCTTGAGGTTTTTGTTGTTGTTGTTAATTGGATGCTTTGATTTTACAGTTTTTGGTTAGCTTTAGGATTTTTCTTTGTTTCTCCACACCCCGCCCCCCCCCCCCCGCGCATCCCTGAGACTTTGCGTTTAGTCATAGTATTTGCTCTTGTTTGTAGAGTTCATGTTTTGTTTTGTTTTGTTTTTTTTTAAATTGTTTCCTCCCAAACTGGATTTTCTCATAACATTTTTAAAGTTGGAAGGGGGAATTCTGAGAATTTGGAAACTATGCGCTTTAGCCTAAAGTGCTGTAAAATAGCAGAACAATTTGAAATCCTAACTTCTTGGAGTCGACATTGCTAAGTTTAGGAGAAGGCAGGGGGTGTCCCCGGCCAGCTGTAGTTCCAGAGGGAAGGAATCCAGAGGTCTGGGGAGAATGAGCCGCGCCGCTGACACCAGACCCAGACCCAGGGTGGTTCCAGGAAAATTTCTTGCTGGGAAAGTAGCCTGCCTCCCACACAGGTTAGTTGTGTGCATGCATCAAATACTGTTAAGTTCGGTCCTAGTAAGGTAGGAAGTGTCTTTTCTAATTTTTTTTTTTTTTTACCACTTTCTAATACGGAATGAAAATGTAGTAAGAGAAAAAAGTATGACGTACAGTGGGGGCACTCTTGTATAGTTAAACTTCCCAGAGTAGACTTTGAGTCCCAACTGGCAATGGACGGTTGGCCCTAAAAATCAGGTAGCTGCCCTGAGCAATTTTTATTTGATTATTATTTTTTAAGATATGTATCTATTTATTTTAAGTAAGCTCTACACCCAACGTGGGGCTTGAACTCAACAACGCGGAGATCAAGGATCACATGCTCTGGTGACTGAGCCAGCCAGGTATCCTGGCCTGAGCAATTTTATTTTATTTTTTTGGCTCAAACAGTTTTTACACTGGCCCATTTAATACAAAATTGCAAGGAATTTGTAATTAAAAAGGCTACACTAGACTAAGCCAAAGAAAATTTAGAAGGGCATGTAGAAAAAATGGGGATCGAAAAATTATTTGGATTGCTTCTATCCCATCTTGTTTAATCTTCATGAAGCTGTGAGATATGAACCGTGATTACGGTTCTGTTTTATAGATGAGTTAACCAAAGCCTAGCTTAACTCATTTGTTCAAGACTTCTCAGCTCATAATTGGTGGAGGTGGGATTCAAAGCGAGGCAATCTGATTACAAAGCCTCCATTCTCAGCCAGTATGCTTTACCACCACAGGGCTTCTTAGAGACTGGGTGCAAGGAGACTAATCAGTGGAAAATAATGCTGCAAAATCATAAACAGAATGAGGATATTATACATATTCAGTAACACTTTGAGTCACTGTATATATAGACACTGTTGAGTATTACTGGGGGCGTAAGGATGGTGTCACCTTTCTTGTCTTTAGTAAGGGAGAGAAATAAATAAGGATAATATAACACAATATATACTATAAGAGAGTGCCATAGAGTCTGTAATTTAATGCAAGAGAATTTGGTTGAAGTTTAGACACACCGGCATTTGAATTCCTGTTTGGCTTTGTTCCCTTTAACATGATAGTAAACCTTTTTCAGCTTCAGTTTTCTTACCTATCCATTAAGTGGGAGGATGTTACTTCAGAGGGGAGTATTAAGCATTAAATAGAATATGTAAAGTCCTGGCACACTGGTAAGCCCTGAATGAAGAAGACTGAATAATATTCAGAGACAGTGGAGAAGGGGTTGGAGGTGTAGCAGGAGCTATCACTGGAGCCCTAAAGGGTAAATAGTAGTTTTCGTTGTTGGGGAAGGAAGACATCTCACTCGGGTAGAACAGAATGCAGGGTCACAGACCAGGAATATGGATTGTTGAGGGAATAGCAAGTAGTTGTAGCTTTGTGTAAAAAGTATTTGCGAAGGTCAAAATTTAAGTGGTAATTGTATATAAATGTGGCTCGTCAAGGTGACCACTACCGGGTTTTGGCAGTTGGAAATTGCATATTTAGGTATTAAAATTATAGGAAATTCTCAAGAGTTTTGTGCAGTGTTACGTTTTTAATATTTACCTTTTAATACCTTTTAATTTTCCCCAGTGTCAGTTAAAACTTCTTTTCCAAATGTGTCCAGCTAAGCAGTTTCATCATTTCATTGCAGTATTTCATTCTAAGCTGTAAAGGAAGATTTACACCACTAGAGGCATTTGCACTTAATTTGTGGAATATATTTTGGGATTATTTATAAAAGAAGAATCTTGAAGTGACTTGACTTTCCTTAACCCCTGTACCTAGTATGTAGCCACACAGGGCCAATATTGCAAACTACACTTTGTATATATATATGTTGACTGTCTTTTCTGAATCCAAATTTGAGACATAACAGTGGGACAGAATGTTTTAAATTGGGGCTGTTCTTTAAAAATCTGAGAAAAAGTCCCATGTGTATGTCTTCCCTTCAGGTTAGCACAGAACCATAAATACTGTCATTGGATTTACAAACGTAGATCACTTCATGACCAGAATTATTTGGCTAAGTTGAAAATCTTAAATGCCATTTAGGAAAGCTGCATTTTTATTCCAACTTGTTAGTCTCATACAAATCGCTAAAATGACACAAAATACAGAGATCAGATTTCACTTCAAAAAAACTGACTGCTTCTTAGAACAGGTAGTTTCAGAGCACTAGGAAAGAAAATATGCTGGACTTCGTTCTGAGTAGTGAACAGGAACTGGGCAGGAAATGGCTGTGGCTGAACCCACTACCTGATAATAATCATAACATGATTGAATTTGACATTTAATGAGAGGAAGTAAAGGGGGGAAAATGTGCACTGTATGCAGCTTTCCAGTTTTAGAATCAGTAGGGGAAAAGGGTTGTTAAAAGTGTTTCTACAGAAGTTTTGAAGATAACGTAGTAGGCAGTCATATTTGTTGCATGAATGAAAGCACCTTTGTAAAACATTCAGTAAAAGGTCTGCTACAGATAGTAAAAAATTTATGAAAGTTATGCGGCACAAGTTTTGGTGTTCTACAGACCTAGATTCAAGTCTCAATTCTACAGTCCATCTTGTATGACTTTGGGCTTATGTAATCTTTTTTGAGGTTCAGTTTTGTTTGATCATAAAATGGAAGTACTTACTGTGCAAGATTTTGAAAATTCAGTGAGCTAATGTATGGAAAGCACTTGGCACATTGCCTGGTTTCTAAGACATGTTCAAAAAATGGTTGTTGCTGTTATTTGATTAAGTTGAACAGGTGTGTTTTTTATTTTATTTATTTATTTACTTTAGAGAGGTGGGGGGTGGTGCAGGGAGAGGGAGGTAGAGAGAGAGTCTTAAGCAGGCTCTATGCTGGGTGTGGAGCCAGGCACAGGGCTCGGTTTCACAACCCTAAGATGGTGACCTGAGCTGAAATCAAGAGTTGGAGCCTTGACTAAGCCACCCAGGTGCCCCCGACAGTGTGTTTTCTAAAAAAATACAATTCTCAAATAGAGTAAGGAGAGCCAGAAAATGACAAATAAAATCTTAAAAGGAGGCAATAGGATGTTATACAGGCAGCAGGCAGAGTTAAATAAAAAATTGAGTCATTGCAACCACATACAAAACAAGGGAAAAGATGAGAGGGCTTCATATTCTCACTGTTTTTTTTTTTTC